AAAAGGTAGTGTTCATTAAATATTCACTATTAATTAAAGGCACTGTACCCATTTTTTTATGTCTTGAAACGTAAAAACAGAACTAGTTAATTTTAAACCATGTGAAGTGGTCCAATGTTCTTCCTTACTTACCTTGAGCATTCTGAGGATCCTAATTAGTCACCATGGTGAGTTTATAATACTTTTCACAACTCTCAGAGCCCATTGGAGTGGAATTTGATCATAACATAATGAATAGTTTGTTCATAGTTTCTCAAAAGTGATTCAGGCGTAGTGTTCAGAATTGGGGAATTAATCAAGTTAATAATAAAAAAAAATCGTTATTAATTAAGTCTTAAGTTATTTTAAAGTGTTAGCAATTAGATTTATCAGATCTGATTATCTTGTAATACCAATATTATTACTAAAATCTGAAAAAAAAAGGCCTTTGACATATAGAACTGAACTGAACTGAAAGAATATCACCCTTTTAAAAAATACACAATTTACTTTTTTATGTAGGAGGTAAAATATGGGTTGAAAGGACTTTCATTTTATTTTGTTGTCAGTATGTAGTCTCTGGGGAATATTGCTAGTGATGACATCCTCTATTATTACGCTGGCTCGGCATAGAAAGCAAAATGCACAGACAAGCATTTAATATTTTTTATACAATTTCCAATTGTCAGTGCTGTAAATCTGAACTCTGAATCACTGTTGTACTACTTTTCAATCAGAGTTAGCGGAGTGCTAACAAGTGTTATGTAATTTCACTTTGATGAAATCTACATCAAGTATTCTCCCTTCACGGTTACTTAGCTCTTGCTTACAACTCAAGAATGTAAAAAAAAAAAAAAAATGTCTACGCACCAACTGTGTAATGTGTGACTGAGCTCAGAGCAGCAGAACAGTGGCACAACGTTTTTGGTTCTATTACTCTCCTCTATTTGACCACCTAAACTCCTGCTGATTTCCATTTCAGCCAATTTATTTACCACCGGTACAGCATTTGCTTTGTGGGTTTTTTTACAGGCTGGCAAAAGTGCATCTGCAACAAACAATCAAAAATACCATCAAAAGTTGCCATCCGTGCAGCGTGTCCAGAAAAATTGGTTTTCTTTCGAGCGCCATGAGAATAGGAAGAACCGCGGTGAATGTGACCAGTTTCTATTGAATGGTGAAGAATAACACACCTATTGTAAATTGTGCTTAGAGAGGTATTCTCATAGCAGTCACAATGGGATGTGTCCTCTGAAGGCAAAGAAAGCAGAACAGAGATTACACACCACATTGATAATAATAACACTATAGATAGATTGAAGGCTTTAGCGAAGAAAATATTCTTGGTGTTTTTTTCCTGTTGTCAATACAAAAATAATTTTTCTCATTCCTTTCAATGGACTCATTCCTTTCACAACACCTTTTGAAGATGAAGAGGTTGAGGAGGCATTTCAGATTGGGAAGAGTAGGGTTGTGGGTTGTAGCAAAGACAGAAAGATTAAATCCTGAGCCCATAAGAAGCAACCTGTGTAGCACCAGTTGTACATCTACCACAGTACACAAAAACTCTGGATTATACCTTTACAATTCATGGACTTTCAGAATTTATGGACTTTTGCAAAAAAATGAGGACCATTGCATAGCTATTAACAATTCAAAACTAAATATTATATCTTTTGAAATGGTCCTCAGAGTATAGCCTATAACAAGAAGCTGAAACCCATGAATACTATATGCCTTTACAGTGTTAGACAAGCAACAAGGAATCAGACAAGGAAAGGGAAAATTATTCTTTCAGGCTGAATTCACGCTACAATATAAATATTAATACAACTCAATGTTCTTCTGTTTCCTTTGCTTTGCCTGTCATTGGCCTATCTTTTATCAGTCTTTAATCTTCACCTTATTTAACTGCTGATTCAAAATGCATGCTCTACCGTGACATTTGTGAGTGAGAGGATTTACATGATGAAACAGGGAACTGGAAAAACCAAAGGTAAACTGTAGTTCACGTTGTCAGATTGCAGATCTGTTACGGCATGTTGCGTTAGATTATTCAGGTATCTCCTTCAGACTGAAAACTTCACCAGTGCCTCTGAGTTTTTTGTCTTTCTAAAAGTGAATATTCTCTGCGGGTCGGTCTGAGTGAAGGAGCTAACAGAATCCAATTAGTCAAGGTTTCAACCGGGACTTTGTCTGTTCTATGGCCTAAATGCACTTTCGCTGGCAAGAAAAGGGCAGGAATTTGAATAGACAGAGCAAATTAAGCACATATTCTAGCAAAAGATAAAAGTCTAAAAAGATGTCTTTAGAAAACAATGGTGTGAAGTCATATTTTACAACTAATTAATACTATTATAGCCAGTATTCATTGATTTTAGCTTCCTATAGGCGCTATTTAAAGGACTACAATTCTTATCTTAAGACAACATTAATGCCATACTGTGAAACATTCTAGCAGTAACATTTCCATGAAGCAGATGGCAAGTTACATAGCATATTATAGCAAAGCAACTATTACATATTTTCTCACAAGTATCACAGTATTGTATATGATTATCATTTTACATTACATTTATAACCGTTATTCTTTTTTACTATTTGGATCAAATATAATGGCATTTTTCCAAATTCTTGCTGTAAAAGGGATTATATCTCTGAAACCTATAGCAACACAAGCTCTTTGTTCTGTGCTGCGCCTTATTTAAAACACAGCTCCACACATGCTGCTCGCTCTGACAGGCTGCAATAAATCAAAGGGTCACCCAGCAGCACCTCTCGGACTAATGACATGTCACGGTAATTGTGGCTGGAGCAAGAGGGGTTAGCCATCAGATGACAGGATAAATGACCTTATTTGGCATTCACACCTGTCCTTTTCAATGAGATGGGAAAGGCGCTGTTCCCCTAAAACGCTTTTTAACACAAGATCATGCATGGCCCAGTGTATGTACGTCATTGTGCCTCAGTTTATCAGGCAAGCACATAAATGTTATTGTGAAGGGGAATAGTGTGGTGGAGCATAGGACAGTGCTATTATTAGAAAGATAACAGCTTCCCTTGCAGGATTTTGAGGCGTTCTCCTTTTTACTAGCTCTGACGTGTCATTGGAGACTTGCAGTAAATACTTAAAAGTGCCAATGGCAAATAAGGCTGCTCATTTCTCCAAAATACAGTTAACATAGTAAGTGTTTTAAAGGTCCTGTATTATGCACAATTGACTCTTGTGAGCTTTAAACCATGATAGAATATTGTTGCTTCCTGAAAAACATGCCCGAAGTTGTGTTTTGTTTCTTTCACACATGATTAAGTAATCCTCTATTATTAGTCTCTCCACATTTCCAGATCTTAAAATACTGTATTCCACTTTGTGATGTCATGAAACGTTTTACCACCAGTACTTGGTGTCAATGCTTGTCTAATTTACACAATGAAATAGCGACTTATATATTAAGCACATTGTTAAATCAGTGTTTAATAGACAGATAAAAATATGTTCCTTGCATCTACATTTTATAATGGCAATGAGTCTTTATATTATCCATTTGTTTTGTTAAGGTTATATGTTGTGCTTGCAGGGCCTGTCTGAAGAGTGCCAGTACCTGTTCCAGCCTCAGCTCATCGTACAAAGGCTCATTGGGATCTCAGTGTTGTACCCTGGATACTTCATAGACCAGATGATCCCCGCCCACAACAGATCTGCACTTTACAAGTAGGTTTTTTTGAATTTTGAATCAGGGTACACTTTTGTTGGTTAAAAAGATTACATGGCACACCACCTACAAAAATACTATCAAATTGCACCATTTAGAGAAAAAAATGCAAATATTTTTCTTGCCCCTGTGTCTGGTCCTTTCGATTTGACAGTGATAATTGTTATGCCTTTTCATTTTGTCCAGAAGTAGCTCAGTATACTCCGGAATAGTAAAGATAGTAAAGTTCAGTTAAATGCATGTGACTTTAACTATACTGAAATTTGATTTTTTCCCCCCAACGCACACCTGACAGGATTTCAAGGCCCAACGTGTTACCCATCACACTGGTTGATTAATTAGACCAATGAGGGATTACACTGAAGAGTGACACTGACAATATTAGAAAGTAATGATGTGTTGTTGTTTTTTTTAATGTGGTAAAGGTGTAATGGGTGGTTGAAAGGCAAATTGATCATATTTTGCAGTAAATTAAGAACTGAAAAATAACCATTAAAAATATAAATCTTTGCAATGCTGATTCTAAGTTTTACCCAATCTGTGTTTTCATATTCATGCATACTGCACTGATACGTTGCAGTGACATCAAATTGGGGGTGTTCTACATGGATGCGTATTGGAATACACTGAATGTTTATCAGTTACCATAACACAATACACAAATTTTGTAAACACTGCTAAATAAATTTTAAGATCGTTGGAAAACTCAAGGAAAAAAAAAATCTAAATGTATTTAAAAATCAAATTTTTAGGAGCCTTTGATCCATGGTCCGCTTTAGGCATTAGATATTCAGCATAAACGTGAAAGTGAAACTAAAAAACTGTTGGCTTGTGATTGTAATTTTATGAAAGACTTTTTTAAGAGCACATATCAGTTCACCTATTATATTTCCAACCAAAATTTGCTCTTTCTGGTCAGATTGTGTTATATCAAAGCTCAGATTAAAGTCTAACTGGAGCAACAGAACTTCAGACAAAATAGTACCTTCAGTTATCATCACACCCCCAGAGAATGTTGATGACATTAGCTGCAAAGTATCAATACTAAGTGTAAATGTGCAGATAAAGGCCTATCTTTTGTGCTCTGTTGCAGCACTACTCTCCTCCTAGCGTACATTTGTATTCTGACCATCTCTCTGTGTGTGTCTGGGCTTTTGCAGAGTGTTCATCCCCAATTATGTATCAAAGGTCAAAGTTCAGCTGGTAAACTGCAGCACAAAGAACAAGAGCAGCGACAGTTGTCCCGTGGTGCTGAAGATAAGAGCCCGGGCGCCTCCAGTGCATAACTCAAGTGCCCTGGACTGTCGGGAGTGGAATCCCTGTGAACTGGCCTCCGCCGCCCCCGCCTGGGAGCAGTGGTACTACATCCTGGTGGAGCGCTACCTCAGTAACGCCGATGTCTACTTCCGCATTGGAGTCCAAATCACAGGTCAGTGCTCAGTTTGACAGCATAGTTCAGTTTTATGAAAGGTATGGTATGTCCAAAGATACTGATTCCAACCACTGGGAGTCATTAAAGATATGTTGTTTTTTTTTCTTAAAATTTGCTATAGTAGAAAATTTTGTGATATTGTCATATTCATATCATATTTTTAATCTACGGTATAATGTTGTTTCCTTGTTAAAAACATACCAGGAGTTCTTTTTTGTTACACTGACGCATGTTAAACACACAAATCGTGCACATTTAGGATAAAGAAACAAAAACATCACCTTGTGATGTCACGTGGTACTACAGGAAGTGCTCCACTGTGTTTTTAAACTCCATACACCTTAACTAGAATCTAAAGATGATTTCAACCCCAAAATTGCCTATCTCTACTGAACACAAGGCAAAAAGGAGCTGTTAACTTGAAAACTACCGCTTCATGACATCAAAAGGTAAAACAGCATTTTGAGTTTGAAAGTGCAGACTGACTCTGTGAATGAAATGGTATGAATGAAACAGGTTTGTTTTTGATCAGGTAACTACATTCTAACACAGCTAAAAGCTCACAAAAGTTCATTTTGTGTAATATCTAACCTTAAATTAAATAGCATATACAATTTAACTTATATACTTAATATTCAAGTCCATGTTTGGGCACAATTTCAAGTCTGTGTCATTTAGAGATAGATTTAAAGCTTTGTAGGTCATGATTGCTGTGACTAAATTTATAATATATTTTTCCTGATTATGGTTGTTGTGGCCGATCTCTCTGGATTAGAGGCTAAAATTGTTTTGAAGCAAGTTGAAGTGTGAATGAGATCTAGTTCTCCTTTGCTCCTTGTATTAATTTGAAAATTAGTTGCCGAGTTGCAGTAGCTGCTCCCTTTGAGGTTTTCACACTGTGAGCGCCTCGCTGTTGTATAAATAAGAGTGTTTTACCAAATTTTCCAATTAGCCTAATTTATTGAATAACATCTTGGAGGTACTGTTGATTTCCATCTTCTTGTCATTGTTTTCAAATAAATTGTGATCTATTCTCTGTGACTGTGGGCTGCTGGCTTCCTGTTGGTTCATTATTTTTCACCCTGCTGCTTCTGGAGTGGTGCTATTGCATGACTCATAAATTAGGCCAAACAAATGCCTCTAGTGGAGCTGCTATATAGCGTAATCTAATACAAATGATTATGGTCTAGAACTGCATAATATATACAAAATCATATTATTATTCTATTCTATCTGAAAACATGGTATTTTTTATAAATTTTCTAGTTTCTTTTTTCAGCAAGTCACAGTTCAAATGTATTTCAATCCTGTTCCCTTATCCTGTTCTTTTCAGTGGCACATATTGAGTGTTGGACATGTGTTTTGATTGAAAACACTAGACTGCCGCTAAGGGACCATTAGGAGTCTTGCTGGAGGAAGACTGAAGCCCAAATAGCCCTGATTCTTGTGGGATTGCTAAGAGGCCAGTGATCGCATGACTAAGTGCTACATGCTGTTTTTTTGGGTATGGACAGCTCCTGTATTCTTTAGACTGGCTCCACGGGGATGGCCCTGATATCTGTAGGAAGTCCTCTCTCCCATGCAGCGCTGCCCTCCGCATGCTCTGTTCTGCACTTTGTCGCCATGGCAACACCCACACTAATTATTCACACTCTGTCTTTTTCCCCCGTGGCTGGCAGGCAGATCTTGGCGTGACCTTTTGTGGATTTAAATTGAGAAAGGGCTCAGGTTGGAGTCAGCACCTCCTGAGATGTTGTGGGCTCTCACTGGTAGGAGCTGTCTCATGAGTGTGGCCCTCTCGCGTCAATCTGTGCCAATTTACAGGTATCAGAGTCATGGCCACCACCTGTCAGCCCAGAATCCACTGACACTTAGAGATTTTCCTCTTGTTAAAATAGTAGCTTTGCTGCTTCTGTCTGGATTTCCCTTTAAAGCACTAAAGAGCTCAAGTGTAAATACCTCTATATGTATCATATATACTATTATGGTAACTTTTCTATTTTATATGCAAGGCGTCATCCTATCCAGTGAACCCTATCAGATTCTCGAACCTACGGATACCAGTTGAAAATTACTGATTGAATCTTTAATTGATTTGAAAGGTAATTTTAATAATACTATGGCACTTTATCTCAAATCTGTTACCATCCTTATACAGTCTACCAATGTAGTAGCCTATATTATTTAGATAGAAACAGATAATGAAAAAAGTACACTAGCTGCATATTTAACTTGCTTAATAGCCAGTGTTTTCTAACCTGACACTCATTTTAATTACAGTGTTGTCAGTAATATCTTGATGATAAATGGCATTAGATAGCATCAGGAGAAAATGTCCTTTGAAAGCATAATCTATCATTAAACTTTATAATAACTACACCTTTATTAGCTCTGATAAAACATCCATCCACCCATCCATCCATTTTCGTCCGCTTATCCGGGGCCGGGTCGCGGGGGCAGCAGCCTAAGCAGGGACTCCCAGACTTCCTTCACCCCAGACACGTCCTCCAGCTCCTCCGGGGGAACCCCGAGGCGTTCCCAGGCCAGCCGAGAGACATAGTCCCTCCAGCGTGTCCTGGGTCTTCCCCGGGGCCTCCTCCCGGTGGGACATGCCCAGAACACCTCCCGAGGGAGGCGCCCAGGAGGCATCCGGAACAGATGCCCGAGCCACCTCAACTGGCTCCTCTCGACGTGGAGGAGCAGCGGCTCTACTCCGAGCTCCTCCCGTGTGACTGAGCTCCTCACCCTATCTCTAAGGGAGCGCCCAGCCACCCTACGGAGGAAACTCATTTCGAGCGCTTGTATCCACGATCTCGTCCTTTCGGTCACTACCCAGAGCTCATGACCATAGGTCAAAAACATGGACATTCATAATGACCAAATATGTATAATAGTATAGTATTAATTGTTTATTAAGAAGAGATTCAGGCTCAGTAACTACTTAACTAAGGCTTTTAATTACGGTAAGTAGTTACTAAGCCTGAATCATACTTAATAAACAATTTTTTAATTATAATTTCAGATTTTCCTGTATAATGTTGTTTCTTCATCACAAACATACCTGGAGTTTTGTTTTGTTTTGTTTTATTCACACATGTTTAACACAGAAAAACTGCATATTTAGGATGAGCTCTTCTCTCAAACAGAAAACATACTCTTCCACCTTGTGATGCTATGTGGTAATACTGAATGCGCTCCACTGTGTTTTTAAACTCCATATGCTTCATTGCAATCATTTGATGAGTTCAGCACTGCATGGCATTGCCAGTCTCTACTAAACAAAAGGTAAAAGGCAGCTATTAACTTGAAAACTACATGACATCACAAGGTGTAACAGTGCATTTTGAGCCTTAAAGCTGTAGACAGACTAATAATAAAAGATTAGCCAAACATGTGTGAATGCAAAAAAAACAAAAAAAACAACTTTAGGTATGTTTTAGAGGAGGTAATATCAACATATATCATGGCTTAAAGACAAATCAAGAGTGGCAAGAGCAAATTTTGCATAATATAAGACCTTTAAGGCTAATTAAATTCTAGTTATTACAATGTGTTACCTAATATGCAGAGCCTGTGATACATTTCTTTGGATGCATTCTGTGTTCTCACAACAATATGCAGTATTAAATATCTTTGCTATTACCAATCAACAGAACTACATGAACATCAAACTCCTCCAATGGTCAGAGACAAAACAGCACACCTATAAAACAAAGACATCTATCGCATTGTACTGTTTTTGTTGTTCAGTGAGTTTTGATGCTGCTCTTCCGATGACCATTTCTTCTGTGAGCTGGTTATGCTGAATGAGGGCTTATCCTGTTGGCAATTACTGTGAATCTTTGTCTCATTAAAACGCAGTGTACAGCAGCTCTGAACCTTGCTGTTTACATTGTGGCAGCCAGCCGACGGGGATCATTTCAAACATTTGCAAAAGCCCTTGGTTGCTCAGTGTGCTTAATGATGGCAGTGAAAGAAGTGACTCTCTGCAGCCTGTCTGTGGGAGAGTTCTCTGTGAGTGGTTGTTTGATTTTATGATGATGATTATGATATTACACAGCTGTCAGAATGTGAAGGGTAAAAAGCTTCTGTGTCAGAGATATGATCATGTAGTAAGGTTCACAAACCTTCACTTCTGTAACAAAAAAATTTACATAAGAGCTTCCTAATACCATCATTGATCATTCAAAATGGATTCAAACCTAAATTGTGCCTCAGCCTAAATGTAAACCTTTAACACTGATAACAAATCATGGCATGTTAATTATAGTCAAAAGCAGGCTAAAAAATAGTAATACTGAGAAGACATTTATGTATAATTATTTTTTGCTATATGTATTTTATTTATTTATTATTTTTTATTTTTTCTATTTTGCAGTCACATAATACACATAATACACACATAAGACTTTGTAGACCTCATTATAGTTTCCTCCCACCATTTACTCACCCAAAGTTGTATTTGGAGTGATTTGTGCAATCTTTAATCGACGCCATATTGCCGATCAATCCCTGTTTTCACTGCCACAAGCATATGCCCACTGCTCTCCACTTACTTCATTCTCAATTTTATTTTCTTAATTTGTGATACGCACAGGATTCAGCAGCATTGTGTAGTCATTTTGGTGCAAATGAAAAAAATAATAAAAAATCTGCTGCTTGCTAATGTGCTGTTCAGTTATCCGTAGGAGGTGCCAACCCTTTGTCGTGATTGTTGTATTTATGGCAATGTCAGCTCCCACTGGACATGCGGAAGTCAGTGTGCTGGTTTCTTTTATCATGTCATTTTAGATGAATAATGCAAATTTAAATGTGAAAATTATATTACAAGGATCCACTGGTGTCCTAGGTTATAGCTATATAGCAGACACAAGCACAATAGGTCTTCTTTAAAGCATTACTCCCTAATGTATCTGTTTTGCTGCTCCAGTGGCATCAGATAATTTAAAATGTATAACACATGTGCCATCTGGCCATTTATAATTAACCAGAAAATACATTATAGGGCAAGCAAAAACATAGTATGGCATACCACTCACAAACAATGACCTTTAACTAGATCTAAATTATAGATCAAGCTAGAATTAAATAAGGACCAATCCAGGAGAAAATCGAGCCTAACTAAGTATTAACTAATAACCAAACCAGAACTGAATCAAGACAGAACCCCAGCTAAACAATCCAACCTGAACCTCAATGTTAAAGCTAAATTTAAATTAGTGTAAACTAGGACCAAACCAGGCTTAAACCAAGAACATAATAAACCTGTGTACAGGGACTGTAGGGGTAATATTGCAATTTTCTTTGAACCAGATAACCAGATATCAATTTTATCATTATTTATGAAGACTTAGAATGTGTATAATGCCTTTAAGTGGTAAGTAAAGTGTTCTGCTTGTTCTGAGACTTCATACACCACTGTGATTGGTTAATTCCACTTCAATCACTCAGAGCCTTAGAGAGGTTGACTAATAGGAGTAGTAGGTGGGACAAAAGTGTCTGTGTTTGAGAATGGAGCTCAACAGCGACCACCAGTGACTACCAATACATGACATCACAAGGTGGAACAGAGCATTTTGAGAGAGACTAATAAGGCAAGATTATTTCAAAATGTGTGAATAAAACTCAACGCCAGGTATTTTTGATGAAGTTACAGCATTATAACATTAGCTTGCAAGAATCCTTTTAGTGTAATATGGGGTCTTTAAATAGATCACTTCACTGAAATAGAATGAATGAGATCTCAAGGGTCAGTGAAAACCTCTGCCTGTTGTCCCTTATCTAATTTTGTGTTTATCTCCTCCACAGACTGCTCTAAACCAAACTTGTCAAAGGAACAAGCCCAGCCCAGCTCCTCCATGAACATGCCCCAGTCTTTTGGAACGCCCATGGGCTTCTCCCTGTCTGAAACTATGTCTCTGGCTACTGTCCCAAGTCTGTCTCAAAACTCCAGCCTCCAGCCCCCCTCGGAAAACAATGGTTTACCTAGCCCCAACCTCGGACCCTAACAAGTGCTGGCCCATCCGTCCTACCCTAAGGAATGAGCTGGACACCTTCTCTGTGCATTTCTATGTGTTTTTTGGACCAAATATCTCTGTCCCACCTGATAGAGCTGCAGTGTTTGCCATCAACCTCATGCCAGTTTTAGACAGCGGAGGAGTCCTCAACATGGAGCTCAAACTTAACATGGTGAGTGCTGTTAATTATATAAATATGTGGAAAGATATACTATGTAACTTTTCTGCTGGGAAGTTATTGCCTGACTTGTTTTAAAGTATGACATTAAACAATTACAGATATTTTTCTTACATTCTTATTCTTAGGTTGGCCTCTCCTCAGATCTGACCTTTAACTTCACATGCTTGTTGTGATAGATACGTTTAATGGCATATTATGGAACTTTCCGGGCAAAGTAATAACATCTCCATGGAGACAAGCCAGTGGCATAAGTTCCATAAGAAAAAAAACATAGTGCACCTTTAATGTATTTTTTTAATGTTTGTGTTTTATTGTCAATACTCATACCCATACACAAAATTATAATCCAGTCCAATAATGCTATTAGTAAATGCTTTGGATTCATATTATTTGCATAGTGGAAGTGAAATTAATCCACAAACATGCATGTAAAGATGATCCTAGGAAAGATCTTATATTGTGAAAAATTGAGGTTCGTGAGTTTTAAGCTATCGTAGACTGTTGTGATGCCACCTACAACCCAGAGTTGTGTTTTGTTTCATTCAAGTGTTTAAACAATCCTTTATTATTAGTCTGTCTACATCTCTAAATCTCAAAATGCTTTGTTACACCTTGTGATGTCATCAAGCTGTAGTTTTCAAGTTAACAGCTACCTTTTAATATTATAACAACAATATTATAACATAGATTAAAAAAAAATGTGCAATATTGGCCCTTTAAATATGTCTGGATCTTTGTTTATCAAATGTGTGCCGATCTCTCAGCATTGCAACAAACAGGGAGCTGTCCATGGTGCTAGTCCATCTATCAGCCCTTAGCTGTTTGAATACACTTTAGCCATCAGCACCCCTATAGAAAGTCATATTTGGTATTTGTTTTGTATTAAATGTTCGGCTCCTTCAAAATTATCTTGCCTCCGCAATTAGTTATCTCGACCCAAATTGTATTACAGTTTCTACTAGTGTCATACAATACAATATTTCTGCCAGACAAAGTGGCTTGTAGTTTCGAGATAAATATTCAACAGTTGCTGTAGGGAAAGGAATGAGACTGAAGTCAGCTGCTAAATATGGATGCTCAGATGGGCAGAGTGAGGAGTTCACAAAGACACAGAAGCCAATGTTTGGGCTGGTGACATATGGCTCTCATTGAAAACGAATGAAATGTCCAAATTCAGGCAAGCTTCTGAAATGTCTTTGTTAAGATGCTCCTTGAACACAATCTCATTAAAAATACACCATCAGTGTCTCCAGGGATGAACAGTAAATTGTATTCAAGTGGTCTTCAGCTTGATAAGAATAAGGGCATTTAAATATACTGAGAAAAACTAAATAAATTGATAAATAACACGGGCACATCTAAAAACAAAATAAAATGAAATTATTAAAATGTGTTAAATTCAAAGTGAATTGTATTTTATTAGAAGTAAAATACTACATTTTACAATTGTTTGTGCATATTGAGCAAGTTTACCTTAAATTGATTACATTTGTGTATGGTTTCGCCACATTTTTATTTCTTAAAATTAGGCTAAATCACAAGTTATATTATATTGTTTATAATTATAAAGTAAGAACTACTATTTAATTTGTACTAAACCAGTTTTATTACTTTTCCACAATTTTCTCCAACAGCATAATTTATTGTGATCCAGCAAGCACTTGCCAAAAAAACAAAAAACAAAACAAAAAAATACCTCTAAAAATAAATCTTGTAAAATGCATCATAGACTACACTTTTTCTCTTATGCACAGCCTTAACCTAAATGAAATTAAGGCGGTGTCCGATCTTCCTGTCTCTAATGAAAGCAGTCACACAATGGAGGCTATATTGTTAATGTTGTGGGAAATGAGAATAATTGGCCTGATAAATAACTGTGAGGTTTATTGACTAATTCCTGGTGCAATTACGTCTCCGCTCCGGCCACAGCCCTCTGAGGACCTGGCAACAGGAAGCAATGTGATATGACCATAATGCCGCACTTCAATAGGTCATTCCACACAACATCCATCATCATCATTATATAGGTCACCTCGTGTTCCCATGATGATCAGTTCACCGTAATTCACCGTTTCAGTCCTGCTATAATGTATATCTGCATAGGGCATTCAGGACATTACCAGACAGTAAGCAATGCATGATGTACGACGTAGAGCGACTAATATCTATAAGGCTATAAATTCAACCACAATGTCATTGTTTATGGTAGGTGTAAATTACATGTTGTTGTGCTAAAATCATATTTATGGTCAGATTAAAATAGAAAAATCAAACCACTGTGATAACTTATCTTATAGCGTATTTTCCCAGAAAAGCATTTCATAAAATCCTTTCACATAAAACCTTGCACTGTGGAAATTGAACAGCATATTTTATTAAGTAAATGTTGTTATGACAACAGCTCAAAAACACAGGAGGCAACATGAGGTACAAAAAAACTAATAATGGAAATAATTATTGCTATAATATACAATACTTGTCCATACCTAAGTAATTTTTGTTCCTAATAATTTCAAAATGACAATCTTTAGATTAGTAGGCAAACACTGAGCAATGAATAAATAACACTATTCAAATGCAAAAATAGGAGATATATGCGGTATCTACATTGTAATAGTTGCTCCTTTGTTAAGATGATTGTGTATTCTTAATTTCATCATCATATAAGTTGTTTACTACTGTGATGTTTTACTGCCATTCACTTCACTGAGGGTTGTTTGGGGAGCAGCAGTAGCATCTAGACGGTCTGTGTTGAGTTATGACCTGTTATGTCCTCCCCCATTAAAACGGTTGTGGTCAATATATGCCTGGCAACCAAACCACAAATCAGACTACCCGGAGCATTCCTCCCAAAGATACAGTATACAAACTCTTATTCTGTGCTGGTGGTATTTTCAAAGTTGTGTTTATTTTTTGTTAATTGGAGCCAGCACTGGCTGTAGTGTTTGTCCACTAATCAAATGGTTGGCAGTTTGTTTCAATCCTCATTCTCTGCACAAACTGCTGCCTCTCATGGGCTTCAGCTTCCAACACTATTTTGAGGACCTTCAAAAAATGTATTACATTTTAAAACATGGCATATCACTTTATTTTTATTGTTAGATCTAGACCTAGGATTTTGGACTTTGCTGTAACTGAGTGCTTGTCCATAGGTTTCAAAGTTACAAAATCTAGCAGTGTTGCCATAGCAATTAACAATTCAAGATTCTCAAAATATCAAAAATTCCTCAAAAAGTTTAAACCCATAAAACTTCCACAATGTCTTCTTCCAGACATTCAAACTTCATCCATTCTCCTATATTTACTAAAACTCACCATTTGACCCTGGGCAGGTGTGCGTCTTGTTACATTTTCTGCACATGCTGTCACTATATATGTATTATATATTATACATGTTATTCCACTGACATGTCTCTCCCTTTGGCGATGACATGTCAGTGGATGGTTGTCAGTGTAGCTGCGCATATTGGCGCCTCTTTAGGAGACAATACAAGTGGCGTGTGTGTCTCCTTTTCTGCTCTAAAATAATCTACAGCGCCTTTATTTGCTCCAAAACCACAAAGTGTCATTTCACCACCAAGTTTTTAGTTGATAGGAAGTGCTGAAAGTCAATGTGTTGGCTGTTGCCTAGCAGCAATGGAGGTTCACATATGAAATCCATTTAAAGCTTCCTATTTGTTCAAGATACTTGATATATGACATTTTCCCACACCACAGAGTAGAGCTGCACAATTACTAGAATTGAAAGGACGATAATAGCAAATCACAAAGTCTGTATTCTTTTATGTACTCTAATTGCTCCACAAACAACAACATAAAAGCTTCTAACAATGTTCAAACACGTTCTGAAATGTAATTCTTGTGCCTTTTTGTCAATTCCTCTGGACAAGTTTAAAATGGGAACTCCTATTATTAAAACATAAATCGCAAATTTAATCTCCATCGCAACGCTTCGCAATTAGATATTTTTCCCAAATCGTGCAGCCCGACCGGTTTATGCAATATTTTTATTAACTCGACATTTTAATAAGTAACACTGTTGCTTTGGGTGTTTTTTAATCCTTAATCCTACAAATGAGACAGAAAGATCAACTTAAGTTCAGCAAGTCAACAAATGTTTTTTTAATAATTTTTGAAACACTGATATAAAGGCATTGTGTGTATGTGCCATATAAATAGCATGGCAAAATGGGATCATTGCTTGGGTGGAGCACTGTGCTTTCAAAATGCTACCAGCGTTGATATCTATTAGTTTCTGAGCAATGAAACATTTACCCCATTGCCATAGTAATCAATTTTCACATTTTCACATTTTTTCATTCTATTTATCTTTTGAATGGCAATATGTACTCAAAGTAATGCTTATGAACAGCACACTGAAATGTATGAATAGGGCTGTGAGCCAGTGAGAAAATATATTTGATAGGCTACTTGTAAATGTAATACTAAGATTGATGCTGTGGTTTGTGAGTCCTGCCACTCAAACAAAACACAGACAGATGCTATGACAAATACACATCGATCAACATCTGGAAAATCAAGCAGGTTTTAAATGGCAAAATTAGCAATGACTAATGCGGCAGTGTGCTCTGAACAATGTAACACAAGTCTTTACAAGGGACAGATGTAACTCAAGCCCAAACAAACCATTAAAACAAATACAGCCATTACACGCTCACTGAGTCGTTAGAAGGACTTTGAACATTGGCACAAGTAAGAGTTCATTCGTCCATTAATGGCTGTGCTATTTATCAGTTTGTATTTATAATTAGAAGAATGTTTTTAAAGAATTAAATTAAATTTTAAAAATCAGTTGCAGTTTTTGTAAGTATTGGAAGTATAGTGGTGATTGTGAGTTGCGATATATGTTTCAAAAGTAGTATTCTGTTCAGATTGGACATAAACAACCTCAGGAGCATTAATATTTGAGAAATCTGAACTGACAAACTAATACCAGAATCTCATGCATTTTACAACATATTAAAGCCTAAACTACAGGTGCCAAATTTTTTCATTAAAGAGACAAAATTTTTTTATTTGCAACTGCACAAACTCAAATTGTAATTCCAATTTGATTGCAATTTATTATGCAGCAATAATAATTACATACAACAATTATTAATTACTATAAATTATTTGTTTCTCTGACCTCTAAAACCACCACCTGATCCACTCGAACAACTGTCTGCGGCGAGTGCAGGATTCCCAAACGTAAGACAGCATTTGGAAACCTAACCTTTTCATGCGCGGCCATCCGTCAGTGGAACATGTTACCAACAGAACTGATCACAACTACAAACTATGGCACATTCCCACGCCTGGCGAAACAATGGCTCCTCTCAAACCAAACCTGTGCCCATAATGTGGACTGATGAGTGTCTGGAGAGAGTGTTCTGATGGATGTTTGTGGATGATGGATGATGATTTTAAGCTGCTGTGAAAACTGGGTGCGAATGTTGTTACAGAACTTTTATGATGGTCTGGTTATTGGAAAGACATTTTCTCTGTATGTTTGATTTTATGAACTATTACATCAGCCTGTCCAGGAACTATAGCTGGAAATTAGCACTAACGCTACAACCTGGTACAATGCATCAAGGTTAATGTATATTGTGCACTAAATACAACTAAATATTGTGCCATAAATTCAAACTAAACTATTAAAGCCCTTAATGTCAAACTTAAAGTGTGTATGACATGCTTCGATGATGCTCTAATTTTGCATTTGGTGGTATAATGCCTGTTGTAAATATAACTGATATTTTTATACCAATCAAGAAGCAGTTTGCAAAGAAAAGTTGAAAAACATGTTGAAAATTACAGAAGTAGATAGTTCCATTTAAGAGACTTCCATATCCATGATACAGTAGGAAGAATTTTATCCAAACATTAGGCCCAATTTTCACGCCACAAACACATTTTTCTGATACTTTAAACATTATTTCAACAAAATAAAGGTGTTTTCTTATCTTTTTTTTTTTTTTGTCATATAATAATTCATGTGTACATTAGAGGAGTTTTGACCCAGTGTACAATATGGTGACAGTTATGGAATTTCCTGGTGTCATGATTTCTCAGGTGGTAAAATATTAAACCTAAAAAAAGTGTTTAGTCAAATCTATATGTAATGTAAATTTCTTATCTATGTTTAGTCAAATTAGTAACTTTTGACAGTAGATAAATAATTGTTTTCTTGATTTAGATTATAAGACAACTCATTACTTGCTATATTTTATAACCTGTTTATTCCAAATGACACATACAATTGACAACATTTATTTTTCAAAGATATAATAATGCACTAAAAAAATTTAGCGTTTGACACAGCTTCATGTTATTGTGAATGAATCCACGTTACTCTCAGTGAAATATATATAGCTTGTTGTTATAGGTTTATTTAGCAAAGCACGCATTCAGTGTCAGTGCTGTACAAAGTTCTTTATGGAGCTGAGCAGAGCCGCAGTCTGATCTAGTCTTTCTTCCCACGCACTCCACGGTCCAGATGGTGAGTTTGGGGAGCCTGGAATCTCATCTCTGCACCTGGCAACGTGTTTGTGGAGTCATTACATTAATCAACAACTTTGCCAACTCCCCGCATATACATAATACTATTTAGAGCATAAGGGCAATTTTAGTTATAGTAGAAGCATGTAATAGTGGAGAAGAGTAATGCTTTGGCTAGTTTAAAGGCCAGGCAAGTCTTTTTTCTCTTATTTTATTTTAAGTGCAAGCAGACATCTGATCTAATTCTACGCGGGACTTGTTCCAGTAGCAATTTTGTTACACTTAATTTAGTCTATTTCAACAAATTTTAGTCCTTTTGTCTGAAAAGAACTGAGCACTTTTGGGTTTAGTGTTACTTCACAAATCATTTACTCAATATAAGACCCAGAGCCTCACCCCCATAATAAATAGACAGCTACTTTAACAAGCACAATACTATTGATTTCAGCTACGATTTGATGATCCTATTTTACACAAAATAGATTCTTGTGAGCTTTAAGCCATGTATTAGTCTGTCTAGATCTCCAAAGCTCAAAATGCTCTGCTGTGATGTCATGTAGTTTTAGTTTTTAAGTTAACAGCTACCATTTATCTTTAGTTCAGTAAAGACTGGCAATTCCAGGAACAGAATGATCCAAATGATTCTAGTGAAGGTGTATGGTGTTTAAAATCACAGTGGAGCACTTCCTGTGTTACAATATGAAATCACAAGGTGGAGCAGAGTATTTTCTGTATGAGGGAAGAATGCACGGATTGTATGCTAAAGATGTGTGAATGAAACACACGTTTTGATGAAGAAACAACATTATGCCATAGATTTAAATCCAGTAACTTTGTTGTACCATCAGATCTTTTATAGGTTGTAACGCCTGTCTCTCATTTTTTTCTCTGACTTATTACTTACTCAGCCTTGTTCCATCTACTCCAAAAAAAAAAAATAAAATAAAAAATCCAATTAGAAAAACAAATACCAACTTCTTTTAGTCGCTCTGACTGGCATGGTAACAACAATTTGGAAAATACTTCTCATAACAAATTCTGAATACGTAATAAGATTAAAAGCTTTCCTGTTGCATTTAGACCACATTACTTTATTTATCATTTGTTATGAGGGAAGTATTTGCCAAATTATTCTCAATGTAGGAAATATGTGCTGTGCTTACTAGTGCGCAGTGCTGTTGGTAATACATTCTTTTACTAAAGCTGTAAACCCTTCTCTGCTGCGTCTGGTAAGAGCAGAATAAATGAAGCCATTTAGAAACAGATAGCGCCACACATTTGTTTCTTTAGCCTCGTTCTAATAAACAAACCCACATTTCTCTCAGCTCATTATACTAATGCTGTTGTCCTGCTGTTAAAAAATTAGACGTGTTTTCTTATACCCCTGCACACAACAAGCAAATGTGAGTATGTTAATGCAATTCCCAATGGATTGAAAAGTCCTCTCTGAAAATATTTTAAGAGGCTGCATATTTAATCCCTAACAAGTCTTTAAGGTGATGGAGTGTTGGCATCTTCATTGAGGTGCCTGGGGCGGACAGAGGGAGAGCACTTTTGGCTTGATTTGTTCCCTTTAAAGTGGAGCAGTGGCACAGCTGAGGGCAAATGAGGCCTAAGGTAATCATGAGCAGTGTTAGCGTAGCGCCGTGGCACTGGCAGATGGCTGATACTAGGCACCCGCTCTGACATTTGTGTGTGATTTCGCCTCTGTCTTCTCTTCCTCCCAGTCAACGCTGAAGGGTGCCAATGTCACTGTGTTTGGCTGTCTCAACCATGGCATGCCTCTGTTTCTGAGGGAAAATGGTACACTCAAATGTGAATCAGGTAAGTGCGTCTTATTTGTTGACAAAACCAAAAATCTAAAATCTTTTTAAAAAGGGGGCATTTTAGGCATTTCTTATTGCACCTGTGTGTCTTATTTTACTGCAGAGTCTGTTGCTGGATTCTTTCTGTCTGTCAATGCATCCTCCAATATCACCAAACTGAGGATCCCCTACCCCCAAACAGGCACCTGGTACCTCAGCCTGCGCTCGCTCTGTGCCACTGAACATGGGTAAGTTCCACTTAACCCATATTTAGCCTGTACACTCTTGGGTCAAGTACACCAAATAATAAGCATAACAATAGACACAAGGTGCATTTACATGCCCAAATAAACTGTATAATCAGGTTCCCCAATAATTATTTTTGTGTGTATTTACATCTGATAGTCAGAAACACCTGGTGGCATGTGTCAGTTAATCAATGGATTTGGAAGACAACGTCCCGCTGCTTATAAACATAGCAACATGTCCTTTTGTGTAACTAATTTGTTCAGTTTTGAATCTACACATATTACAGAACTGTAGAGTGGATCAGAGCCCCTAAATGACAAGTAGTCCTTTGTTTAATTTATACTTTACTAAAAATGGCTCAAAAAGCTATGGATTCAGAATATTTGTCTTATTTTGATTAGTTCCCATTCTTTTCAGTTCAGTTCTGTTCAGATGTAGCCACATAAGAGTGGAAGATATTACAACTTTATAACTATCAAACTATCCTCCTCTGCTGGCTGATATTTGCTTGGCAATATTTGTGTGCATGGGGAAAGGGTTCATGAAGAAGCTTTTAGTTATTTTAAACTTTGTCAACATGTATGACTTAAGAAACAGTTGTACCAACCATGTGTCAGCAGAACCTATCTCTATCTCATTATTCCTTAATGATGAACACAGATAACGTGCAGGGAGCACTGGTGACTGCTCTCATCGTGAACCAACATAATAGCACGCTAATGTGCTTGTTTGAATAGAGCCCAAATGAGCCTTCTCCTGGCTCATTAACATGTAATAATAGCTGTGATAGAAAGCGCCACAGTGTGCTATAGTGACACAATAATAGGCCATCATTTTACAGATGCAGTCTCCAAAATCACCAACTGCAGCTTTGTGAGGGGCAACGGTGCACAGTCGATGGTGCTGTGTGAATCATTAGAATGAGTTCAGAACAAAAACACCTCACACTGTCTTTTGTCTGCCCGCAAGTTTCACAGTCATGCACACCTAAAGAGTTTAGATAAAGTTGGGCCGTATTTGCTGTCCATATACTTGTTGTTTATCTTGGACAAAAAAAAATTGAAAGAAAAATAGCAAAGATAGAGCACTGATTTCTGAACTTGAAGATTCTCAGTCAAGGCCTTCTTTCTTAACTCACTTGTAGTTTCTAAAAGAAGTGTACAGACAGAAATTACAGCCAACCAACTTGTGCGTTCATAGACTCAGTAATGACGTAATGGTGATATTTTTATTACACACTCCCATTTATGTTTCATAAACTCCTTATAAGTTTTAGTAGTTTGTTTACAAAAATGAATAATTAATGTGAGTTTTGGAAACAGAGCTAAGTGTTGATTGAAAGAGAGCGGGCTGTCTCAGTGAGCCACATCCTGGCCCATCTGTTGCCTCCATCCCACTGTGCTCACCTGAACAGTTCATTTACTGTCAGCGTGCTGGAGGTGGGATCTCATCAGTGTAACACAGTACAGTGACTGCACGTTCTGCTGATGTCTACACAGTATTCTGCAAGATTTATTAAAATATTAATGAACATAACATTTGTCCAATATCAGGATAATTAATCCAATAAGGTTCCTTTTGGTCTTCTCGTCTAATCTAATTCTATTCTTCATCTTCAGCAGTATGGAATACTTTTATTCTTGGATCCAAATCAGGATTCAGATTCACCCACAAATACCTGGCTTGACCCTTTGTCATCTGTTTACTATTTAATACGGTAAAACAGTATCTACAATCATACGCAACGCATTAATATACCATTACTATAAGAACATGTTGTTTGTGAAACTAATGTGGAAACTTAACACTGAAACGATATTTTTGCCTCAAACAATTAAAAAGTTGTTCCTCCTCTACTACTTTCCCCGCACTTTTGACAGTCCTGTATTACCTATTCATTGAGCCGTTAAGGCAAATATTAATGGCACCAAAATGTGAACAGACTGAAATGAGGCAGATTTTTCTCACACTTGGGACTTCCAATTGAATGCGAGTAACAGATATTAACAGATGGTGTGGGACATGAGCTCATTCTCACATGAGTGCAGTGCTGAGGTCTAGGCTTCCCAGTAATATCCGTTAGATCTGCACAAGCACTTAGTGTTTGTGCAAAGTTTGGGCAAGGTGACAGAGTGGCACAAATGACAGCCATCTTTAAGGTGACAATTAAGTTGATGGATGTAACTTCAAGATATAGAAGTGAGCAGATGTGTCAACTAAACCATGTTCCGGTACAAGCGGCAAACATGTTTATTACCCCCCTCAGTGACTGATTGTAAAACCTGGCAATTAGAGAAGGTACAAACAGCACCTACATACATGTTATGTGGATATGATTCAGTTTGGTGTCAGTACACAGCTGTAATGTGGGTGCGTTGTGTGCTATTGTCAATAGTAAATAAGGTAACTAATCTGACACAAAAAACATGTTTTGTTTGCAATATTATACATTTCAGAGTTGGCACTTGACGATTACTTAGTTAGAGGATAATTGTGATCATACCTTAATTAGAGATATGGATAGGATTTGGCAGGATGGCATAGGCATTTTGGTATGAATGAAAAAAGTCTGCTGCACGCTAGCGAGATCTGCAGCTACCCATGGGAGATGCCGACTCTTTGTTGTGATGACGTTTACGCTGGTTTCAGCTCCTATTGGAAGCACAAGTCAGCGGCTTGTTTCTTTTATTAAATCATTTTTGATGAATAATGAAAATTTTAAAATGTTTTAAATGTAACATAATGATCCAGGGGTGCCATAGATTATAGCTGTACAGCAGACACAAGCACAATAATAATTTAAGTAATTCCCTGCTATTTTTATGGTGCCAATAATTGTAAATGATCCATAAAACATCATGTTGATATTCTAGCATCTCTTTTTTGCATTTCTAATATTTCCCTATTTGTGCTTTAGTGTTTAAATCAGTAAAAGTAATATTTGAATTTACAATATTCAGTTGAAAAACTATTTTTTTTCCTTCAGTCGCGTGATGAAAGGATTGTATGATATTCAGTAAAAAATTTATGTGCAGAATATATCCATCTCGATAACACCCTTCATATGTTAAATATTGATGCCTTCACCAGGTGGAGGACCCTTTCCAGTAATGCACCACTTGTGTAGTCCCCACTCTCACTTCCATCTAACTCTACTTTATCTTCTATTTCCAGGTTTGAGCCTTGTACCAATGTCACCGCTGAGGTGTACATGAGATCCTACCTGACTCCCTGCATCAACGACTGTGGCACCTACGGCCAGTGCAAGCTCCTACGCACCAACAACTACCTGTATGCAGCCTGTGAATGCAAAGCAGGTGACACACTTATAAATATGCTGCTTTTTATTAGACTTTTAAGAATAGATGTTTGTTTTTTTATTGAAGAAGCTAATGTGTGGCTCGTGGCTCTTCATCATTGACAATGGGAAATGTCATGGCAACTCTTCAACAGTTGCAGGAAAATTATTGCTTCCTGATTTTGAGTTTTTTATGTAATTTGCAATAGCATGGCAGACTGTTGCCTATGGCAACTTTAAACCCGTGAAACACAAACTATTAAAAAAACTATACATTTACAGTATCTGAGCCTCTTTAAACAATTGATGAATTACATCAACATCTATGGGTTTCAGAGTAATGGAAAATTTGGACTGTTGCCATAGCAAATATTAATTTAAAACAAAATGTTCTGTCTGGAATAATCTCAAAATGGTGTCTATAACAGTTAACATTTATGTGACTGAAACCCATGAATAGGTCGTGTCCAAAGCAGTGGAGAGTTTTGTAGAAGAGACTAGTGTAGTTGGTGGTTAGTGGGCGACTGGCTCTCCATACTGAGCTTCAGCTGCTTCACTGACTATATTTGGTATTAGCTGGGTTTGCACATTTTCTTATTTGTTGGCCATTATTTGAGTTCATTATGCATGCCTAAATTTCAAATAGCCTGTACACTTGTGATCATTTCTCACACTAACTATGCTTGGCTACCCTTTAAAAGCGCTTCCCAAATAACAATTAGCCTAATCAATAATGGAATTTGCAAAATGACGGACAGAAAAAGCCCTTTAGATTCAAAAAACATCTTCACGATTTAGATTAGATAAAACTTTGTATGGAAAATGGGGTCATTAGATTTCCAAAGCTATTCTAATTTGATTCTAAATATATCAAGCATAGTGAGTGAGGCGGCGAACTGACAATTCAGCGATTAAAGTGCATGGAGTTCAATGAGTCAGTGAGTGGCCTGCATTAATCTCCCAGTCTAAGCCATTTTGAAAAGACAATAAAACTAACCCTTAATTAAGATCATCTATTCAATAAAGCATAAGCTTGTGAATTCAAACAAAGCGTGTCCTTGGGGGCGTTTTCAGAATCCCCCTTTGATCTGCCTTTTATCAGAGCCCCTCCATTGGGTTCATTGTCAGTCTTCATATGTGTGAGTACTTCCTGGCAGGCGCTTCGCATTCTGCACTCGCCCTTGTCCTGTCTCACCGCAAAGCCTCTGTTTGCAAACCCTGGGCGTGCTAATATTTCATTCACACTGTCTTATCCAGTCCAGTGCTCCGGCGCTATCTAACTCCTCTGAAGTGAGAGGGAGTCGAGCGCGCAGGGAGTTCACACCAAGAGCTACTATTGTGGACTACAACCATTTTATTTTTTTTTTGCTCATGGAGGAGCATTAGTTTTATGTGAGAAGAAGACAAAATCTTATTGTACTTTCAGAGAAAACTAAAAGAAGTACCTTAATGAAATGACTTGAAATCAGAATATTGTATTTACATGTCTACTGTACATTATATAAGCTGTTTCATGTTAAAGAAAGGAGGAGTGAGCAAAGAGAATCAAAAATAAAAAATGAAACCAGTAAAACTTGTTAATGCATTGCTTTTTCGCAAAAATTGCATTTTCAAAACAATAAAACATAACATGATGATCTACATATGTTACATGTTAGCACCCTCTTTCAAGGTGCGCTGTGTAACATCTCTGGTGGACGGTTGCTTTGCGCGGAGTGGCATTACACTTTTCTATCTTATATTTTTCAATAACAGGTCTTTTTATTACTAAAAAAATACCTTGAAAAACACGTATACTGTGAGTTGGCTTGGCTTTCCACAGATCTGACCTGTAACTTGGCCTGATAGCCTCACCTGCTTGTCGGCATGGAGATAAGCATTATAAGTGGTACATTCCGGGCAAAGCAATAACACCTTTGTGAAGACTTTTTGGTGCAAAGTAAACATTCTTCTTTTAAAGTTGATTAGCTGTATGAGAGTGCACTATTCTTATTCCACTTGCAGTTAATTTTCTGAACTTGTCAAAACTACTACCAAAATCAAGATTAATATTGTGAATTTTGAAGTAAAGTTATTATAAGTTCATTTTGCACAGTCTAAAATGAGCACTGTTGATGTGATTTTGTTTGTGTGCTTTTAGGCTGGGATGGCTGGGGCTGCACTGACAACACAGAGGCCTACTCCTATAGTTTCCAGCTCCTGTCCACTCTGCTGCTGTGTCTCTCCAATCTGATGTTTGTGCCGCCTGTGGCCATCGCCATCCGCAGCCACTACCTCCTGGAGGCCTCCGTCTACATCTTCACCATGTTCTTCTCCACTGTGAGTCAGAGCCATTTCATACAAGTAAACAAACTGTTCCCGAGGTGTCAAAGCAGCGGGCAGCATAGTGGACTCTCAACTTTTGACTACAGGGGATGGAACAAGCAGATAGTGAATAAACCACCCCTCAAGACTGTCTCATACTACTATGTGAATACAAGAGGGGAAAATGCAAAAAGGGATCTGATAAACAACCAGATTATTAGATTTTCAATCGTGTTTTCACTGGATCAACTAGAACACATTTGCTCTGAACAATGTCACTTTTCTTATCTGAAATGAATGTTCAGATTTTAAATGATAAAATATGCCTGTAAATTTTTTGCTTTTAATTATTAACAAGCTTCTTATTCCTGCTCTGCTCTGCATTGGTCACCTTAAATCTATTCAATTATAAAGTAACCCCTATGTCTAACCAAGAGGCCACAGTCGCAAATCTATTATTCCCCCAAACCAGACAGGCCTATATTTTATTCATAAAACAGCATGTCTACCCTGCCAGTATAATAGATAGGATAGGTTCAGCCGCTGTTGTGCCCAGTAGCGACTTTGGCATTCTTGTATATTACTAAAAAATGAAAAGTAGCAGTGAGAAATAGTTTGAATTTTACTCAGACATATTTCTTTTTAAGTAAGAGAATATATAACCACTAAGCTCTCCATTCTTTTTCCATGTTGGCAGTTCTACCATGCGTGTGACCAGCCTGGGATCGTGGTCTTCTGTATAATGGAGTATGATGTGCTTCAGTTCTGTGACTTCCTGGGCTCCCTCATGTCCGTGTGGGTCACGGTCATCGCCATGGCGAGGCTCAAGTCCATCATCAAACAGGTGCAGCTCAAACCACACCCAGCTCCACAGAGATGCATCAGTACCCCGGTATTTGATGCCACCTCAAACCTATTTTAATTTGTAGATACACTTAGAAGCTACCATGTGTAAATTTATAAGATTTTTTTTTTTTACCTGTAGACACCAGATGTGAAACTTGTGCTCTCTGTTCTTCTTCTGTCAGGCCAAAGCTGGCACACTTTTAGACTGCAGTAACGTAGATAGCATCTAGTGGTGATATGTGAGAATACAACAGGGCCATGTCTAATTACATACCTTTAATTATTTTTATTTTTTGTTTTATTTATTTATTTCATTCATAAAGCATAAAAAGACATCAACAGTGTCACAATATCCGACACACAAGAAATGAGAAAAAGAAAGAAAGAAGAAGAAAAAGAAGAAAAAATCTTACGTTATCTGCCCCTCTTTCCTTTTTCAAGACAATACATTAACACCGATGGTTACTAAATATTCCATATCAGTTCAGGCACAATTACTTATCAATTGCAAACAGTAATCTTCATTATTATAGACAACAACTTAGTTTTATTTTTCATACATACACACTGCATTCGATTTTATATGTTTTTTTTTTAAATGTCATCATTGTACTTGATTCTTTTATTTCTTTGTCAAGACTATTCCATAAGTTAACTCCTTTCACAGCAAGCTTGGTTCTGAATCTGGGTTTCTTAAACATGTAGGTTCCTTTTAAATTGTAGTGGCTTGTTCTCATCTCAAACAGTCTTTGAATATTTACAGGTAATACATTGCACTTTGCTTTATCCATGACTTTGAGATACTTAAGTGAACAATATCCTGCATTTTCAACACTTTAAGTTGAGCAAATTGAAACAAGGAAGGGAACAGATGCTTGAAAAATAAAAACTCACACGAATAACTAAGAAAAAAACAAGAATACTGATCTTCATTGACAAATAAAGAGTTAAAAGTTTTATTTAAGTATATGGTTATAATTGATTCTAATAATATATATTCAAATATTCAATAAAAAAAAAAAATCCAATACAAACTGCAAATCCACTTCAATTGTCTTTTTGTTGTAATAATTGTTATTTCAATATGCAATCAATGTAATGTATGGCAAAACAATACATGAAGACCCCTGCCCTTTGTTCCTCACCATAATAGTTATTTTCCCCTCCTAAGACAAATCTTAATATTTTTACATCTCGCCTCATTGCCACATTTTTGGAGTCATCTTTCTGTGATAAACAAACAAAATCACCACTGGCAAAAACATAACCTCCGTGACCGAGGTGAAAAAGTTCTTTATGTGAATTTTTTATTTTATTTTGGGTGCAGCACCGTAAGCAAGTTCACGTTAGATGGGTGACAACTCGAGATAAGCCCTGAAGCGAAGAGCTATTTTGTGCCTTCATGACAAGGAGGGGAACATCCATAGGTGACTGCTGCCATATGAGTCATTTTTTAACTCTGCCTTTAGATTTACTGTTATTGGGGCCAAGGCAGTGCCACAGTTTATTCATATTGAAATATTGTTGCTGGCTCAAATATATAATAGTAAAAGCAGGTGCTAAAGATGTTCATTTTGTCTTCTTATATACTTTAACTTCTTGGGTTCTTTTTAAAGACAATGCAGTAAAGTGTATTTACCTTGTTGACATGTTTCGGCTGCTAGCTGCAAACCATCTTCAGAACTGTCACCGGTGTTGGTGGTGACGTGTCGTATATCAGCTGTTGTTACTTCCTGTAGGCGTGGTCAGCCCAATGGACCTGGCAGGTCGCTCGGACTGACCACGCTTCCGCCCGGTGTTCTCTGGAGGAGGGTGTCCCAGGTGTGTGAAAGGAGGAACAAGAAGTTAAAAACAGGTGCTGTTCTGAGTGGCTCATTATAGCTGCACACACATTGGACACACTGCAAAACAATGACTACATAAGTTTAAAGGGACAGTTTGGAATTTTGGACATAGGACCTCATTTCCTAGTGAGCCAGAGTGTTGGAGACATGTGGAGACACGTTTTTAAAGGTTGTATGGAGGATTTTTTTTGTTTCACATTGTCAATGATAGCATTATAGAGGTGCAGTAGCCCTGTAATTATGATGACCAAAAAAAAGAATAAAAATTCATCAACTCTGGACGTGGTGGGGCTAGCTAAACATTTGCCAATAGATAACGACATTGCCTCGTTATCTGTTAGCTGACAGGCTGTCAATCAAACTCCCTACGTTTCTAGCGTAACTGACTTGCCTGCGCGCTGCCGTTATGTGGTTTGCGTACGCCTGTCACGCAGTCCACAGACGCAAGACGCTGTTTACTCCACCAACGCAACAGTTCTTAGCGGCTTTTTTTGACCTATATCTTCCTTGCAGTTCGCACAAAGTTTGTTGCAATGGCAGACAAGAATCCAGGAGCAGTTAGCCGCAAAAGAAAGTCCGTTTTTGAGATTGCTGAAAGAAGAAGACAAGGGGAAAAGCAGCGAAGCCAAACTAAGGTGATTCTTGTAGATTCATTCCAGCGATGGCGCAACTGAAGCAGACGCAGGGTCTAAAGACTGACGCATTGGTCGCCAAATTACTCCTGGACAGGAAACTTCTGCTTATTATGAAAACGTACTTTATTTCCAAGAGGTAGACAAACGTTTTTCAGGACACGAAAGCGATATCCTATGTCTGAAAACGTAATTTTCAAGGCAAAGAAAGAGTCCGCTTGCTGCTGCGTGTTGTAGCTAGTTCATTCGCACTGAATCTCCGCGCAACCTTCTCTGCACCCCTTTCCTGCTCCTGTCCCCGCTGCCCGTTCCGCTCTTCCCCCTGCTCCTCACTTCTCCGGGCACGGAATCTCCGCGCACCGCTCCCCTCTCCTCTCTCCTCTCCTCTCCCCTGCCCGCTCCCTCTCTCCCTGCTCCTCACTTCTCGTCCGCGAACGAAATGTCCGCACACCCGCTCCCCCGCTCCCCACTTCTCCGTCTTGCCTAACCAACACTGTAGTTAGTTGTTTACAAGTCATGTGCAGCTCACCGGCTGTAAACAAACCTGTTTCTGGCGTAAGGAGGAGGCGGGAGGAGGCGTTTCTACGTAGGGAGCTGTAGGGGAGGGGGGGTGGTTTCACGCATGCGCAACATTTGAAAAAGGACAAACAGTCACTGGATTTCTCGTTCCTTGGAAAATCCTCTATACAACCTTTAAATACCGTATTTTCCGGGTGATTAGGCGCTCCGGGTTATAAGACACACTGTCATCTTCCCGAACTTTTTTCACATATAAACCGCACCGGACTATAAGGCGCGTTAAACGAAACACAACAGTTAGGTAAATCAGTCAAACTTTATTTAACGCGTTTACTCGTTACGTTAACTCTCAACTTTCTTCATTTGTAACACGTAAAAAACAAAAAACTGTCTGAGACCGATAAATTGTCAGCGCATTCACAATAACTCATAATTGTTCGGTTATAACTAAAAATAACACATTAGGGCATTTTCACACCGCTAGTTCGATTATTTGGTCCGCACCATGCAATAAAATTGTTATTATGTAGCAAATACACTCCAGTGTGGTCCGCTTTCACACCGGCAAACGAACCAAAACTGGTTCGATTGACATGTCTCTGTTTCCCGGGAAAACAGCGATACCTCCAGTTATCAACACCGATGTTCCTGTTAATACCACGGGCCGTCCTCATCTCAAATTATCACCATGAACTCATAAAACAGCAACATGTAGAACTTTGTACAAACTCACCGCATCAGCCCAGAGTTCGGGTAACAGCAGCAGCCAACAGCGCTCACCGTAGCGCGCAGCTCCTCAGGTCGGGGCTGGGGTCTGGTCCTTGGTCTTCTGTTGTCTTACAAGCGCGTTGGTCAGATGTCCGGAGGCTCTGTCCTCCATGTGCTGGTTCCAAATGGTGGCGAGTAAGACCAGTGCTTGATGGACTGAGTCCGAGCGGGTACGTTCCGTCGTCTGCGCGCTGTTTCCGTGCGGGAAAAGCAAGAATGCGCTGTGGACTACAGGTCCGGGTGGGCTGCTCTGGTCTTCCGCGCTCAAGAACTGCGGCTGGTTCCGAGGTGGTGTAGCATCCGGACAGAAGCGTGAGCCCAGTTTGGTTTGTTATATGTTGTTCTGAGCGTCCGTCCTCCGCACATATGGTTCTTCCCGGGGAAAGCGCTTCCTCAGGTCGAGGCTCCCCGCTCCAGCTCCTCTGAGCCCGGCCTGAACCGGAGCTGCCCCCGCTGGTTCGGGACTCTGGTTTGGATTTAGTCCGAAAGTATTTCTCACACTAGGCTAAAAGCAGGGACTTTTTGAAGTTGTGTCAATTGAATAGGCTACTGTCATAAAATTATTTGGTTAATTAAAGCCTAAAATAACAAATGCTGATTGGTACATGATCGTGAACAGACGTACACACCCTCAATTTTGACTCAGTCTGGAGCCACATGTTCGCACACTGGTACTTGCTCTGATCTTCATGTATTACATTCTCTGTATTGGCCATTGTTGGCGGCTGTGTCTGGACAACAATCTGTTACTGCACTGGAGTCGCAGATCAATAGGGACGGAGATGTGTGGAAAAAGCCATCCGGTCTCTTAAGGTAAACTTCTTGCAGCCAGTCGCTGATCTTTTCCTCGTCCACAGGAAAAATGAGGAATCACAGTGCGTATTACTCCACGATGCTCCTGACTACGGTAGCCGTAATGCTGCAAGTGGTGCGGCTTTGTCGATTACTGAAGTTGTACTGGAACACTCGCGGAAATTCATATAAAAGGCGCTCCGGATTATAAGGCGCGGAGTCGTTTTTGGAGGCTGAAGACCGCGCCTAATCGCCCAGAAAATACGGTATTCCATCCATTCCTTATATTTGCAGAGGTCGCGGCTAGGCTGTTACGTCAATGGCCATAGTTAGCCTGCCACTAAATACAGTCTTACCTACTCCACAAAACACCCGAGGCAAAACCATTTTAACGCCAGACTGTCGATGTGAATGTCTGTGTTGATAGAATAATTTTAGAAGTAAAACCAACCTTGCATTTGAAGGATTTATGTCTGAGCAGCAGCAGCGAGTTGTATTTTTTGATAGAAAGTTTGGCAGCGGCGGACTGATATCACCTAGCACCTATCTTACCGGCAAAGTAAAATTCTGCTGCTGGTGACAAAATAGTCCCTTAACATGCATCGATTCATGTGATGCAAGGTTAGTTTTATTCCAGACATTATTCTATCAACACAAACATTGACCTTGACAGTCTGGCTTTATAACTGTTTCACCTCAGGTGCATTGTGGAGTGGGTAAGGCTGTTTGTAGTGACAGGATAACTATGCCCATTGACCTGCATTAGCCTAGCACCACCAACCTCTGCAAATACAAGGACTGGATGGAATATTTTAAAAAGTGTCTTCACACGTCGCTAATACTCTGGCTAACTAGGAAATGAGGTCCTATGTCCAAAATTTCGGATTGTCCCTTTAAAGGGCCCATATTACACTGTTTTCTGATCTATGTTATAATGTGTTTCCTCATCAGAAACATACCTGGAGTTGTGTTTTGTTTCGTTCAGGTATGTTTTAGAGGAGGTAACAATATTCTAACAAGCTAAAAGCTCACAAGTGTCCATTCTGTGTAATATAGGACCTTTAAATATCTTAAATCTAAAATATTATTAGACTTGAATATTTTTTAGATATAGTTACTTAGTCTTTAGTTTACTTGAGGTTTATTGGCACAGTCTGCCATCTTTGTTGCAGAGCCCCTTGAGTAGCATTAGACAAATTAAAACAGTGAACTAAAGAGCCATGAAACAACCTTTTCGGCAGATGGGTCACTATTGGTAAATTTGTCGGACTATTGGTTTAAAATAGGCTAACTTAGAATTTTGTGAGATTTGACGACACCAGCCAAATCTCTATTTAAGACTTTACAACTTTTTCATTGACTTTTCTGTCAATGAAATAAGATAAAAATGCAATAAAAATCCCATTCTGTGAACTAATGAATGAAACTCTTATAGAAAATACATTGAAGCTCGTCTGAGTCGTCTAAATTCTACACTTGCCAACTAAATAAATTTGAGATGAGTCAAGATATATATTCTGAACGGATGTCTTTTAAACTTTAGATTTTCAGTTGCTGCAGAAGTGTGGTGTAGTGTGTATAAGTTTGACAAAGGGGAAAGGAGGAGGAGAGAGGGGAGGAGGCTATGAACATCTGCTGTCCTCCAGAGACTTGGGACTTGCTTAGGCCAGCACTTCACAGTCACTAATCAAATCGCACATGTCAGGACTGGCAAGTGGGGAAACAATGTGTGTGTGCTGGCTGTTTACATGTTTGTGTGTGTGCGCGTTTGTGTGTGCACGTGTGTCTGTGACCGCAACAGCAAAGCACAACCACCACAGTCTGCAGTGTGTGTTTGACCCCTTGACCTTCTATGTGCTAATATTCCAAAATCAGCAGGATGTGATTTTGTAACCAAGGGCAACAACGACTAGTGTGGAAGTGAAGTAAGCTGCAAAAGCCTGTAATATTCTCTTCATTATTTTCCACATTTGAAATGATATATTATAATGAATTCTTGTTTATGTGCTGTCAGGGTCAAAAGATGCTTTGATTTCTGCTCTGTGGGCGGTGATTGTCAGGTTTGATTGGCGGCTAACTTAGCACTGCCAGATCCACTGTATAAAAAGATATATTCTTCCTGACTGACAGCTATAAAGGTTGCTATATATACTTGTATATATACTCAATATACTCAAAATGTGTTTAACTTCAATCCAGAATATTGGACTATTGGAAGCCATTGCTCTTGTGCCATTATATTATACATTCTGTGGAAAGCCCAATTGCCAAGAGTGGTTTGTCTTGTTTCTCAGTAATACATATTTGGGTAAAAACTTGCCTGAGCAGCCAGTCCCAGTGACAATCCTCAGTCCAAACTTGAGACGATACAACCACAGCTGCCCATTTATAACATATGTCTTTCAAATGTGGAAGAGACATTCAGAACAAAATAAATCTTTTACTAATTTTTACCTTCTCTTGCTGATGCTGTAAAAATCTACGCTGTTTCTTGGTCCATGCTGTTTTTTTCCCTGTTTTTACATGTAAGCAGCCTCTCTCTGATTGGTTATTCTGCCTGTCAGTCATGCCCTCTGAAATTTTGAAATCTTTGCAAAGTTTTGTCTGTGTGTAAAGAGAAGTTGATTCTAGATTTTTCCATAGGATGTTTTGTTCTTGCAGATTATCTGATTTGTTTTCATGGCCACTCAAAATGTGCTTTTGTTTTGATTACAGCACTTGTCCAAATTTTATCCCATCTCAGAGCTATGTTGTACAGATTGGCTGAAATATCTTGTCACTAAAAAATGCAAAAGCTAGTTGGACAATTGGAAGACTTTAGATTGTGTTGAAATATAAATATAAAAAAATATATTATCATTGCTGCTTCTTAAAATTTCACTCCAGACTGTTGTGTTTTCTTTAGTCGTAAACCAGCCAACTTGAGAACAGGTTGAAATGGAGCTAGCGTAAATTCCACCTGGAAGACCTAACTTCGCTCCTGTCTACCTCAGAGCTTCTCCAGAGTTTACCTGCTCCTCAGCCTTCAATACCTCCCCAGTCCCATTACTCCTTCTTGCTGCTCATTCCACCTCCTCCGCCCCAGCACCCCTCAGCTTCTCCTCCCCTCACAGTCCCCTTCTCTCTCCTCACCACCTCATCGTCTCCTTCACTCTTCTCGGCCTCCCCTCTCAACATCTAATCGGCCATGGCCTTCATTGTAATGTCTTTTGCTGGGGTGTGAGATCCAAAACTCATTTAATAAAACTCCTAATACTTTCTCTTTGTGTTTGCCTGGGTCTCTCCAAGTCGAATTGTAAACAGCTAATCTGCCACAGTGAGTCAGTCTGTTGTTGTGTCTTTGTTATGCTGCTCTGTATACCACCACTACACATGAACACCATTTTACTGTAGGTAAAAATAGACGACACCAGCAAGTTTATGGCCCCTCCTTTCTCAGTGACACCTAATGATTCATTACAGAAGAAGCCATGGCGGGCGAGTGTATAGTATGGCGCACATGTTAGTTTGTCTGTGTTCTGTGGATGGGATGTGTATGAGTGATGACTGCTGTTGCTCTGCGTCCTCAGGCTGCTCCTTACTGCCCCTCTCTGCTCTGCTCTTTGCCAATTAGCCATCCTCTCCTCCAGGCAGGTCATCCCTCCTCTGCTCCACCGGACCCATTCCTCTTGTGTTTTTATACCAGACACAAGAACGCACACCTCAGGCTTTTTGGATAGACTAGGCCTCCCAAATAACCATAACCCCCATACCATACACTCTGGCTCTGTGCCAAATGTAGAGCTTCTGCAAATTTTGTCTGCTACAAATGTGGGTTTTGTATGTTTTGTTATGATAGGGTACTTTTTTTTTTTTTTTTTTCAAACCTCCCGTTGAGGAACTCATGCTGGGATTTTGGATTCAAAGCTTCCAAATTTGGGAATGTCAGGGCAAATTTTGAATTAATAGCTTTTAAAACATAATATTTAAAAGCACATCTACAACATCGCAGTGTTCTAGTAATTAACAAAGCAAAATATGTAACTATGGCAACTGTGAAGTCAAACTAAGAAACACTGACAGTAAACATATTTTTTCATCCTTGGATCACAACAACTGCTTAAACTAAAACAATAATAATACTGATAATTGATTACAGTGATAATATTGGGATCTGTGAGTCATAATTAAAAACACTAACTGATCTGTTTTTGTTTTATCTGAATATAAAGTTTAGGCATGCCCCGATAAATGGGGAAGTAAGGAAGGTCATCTGATGCATAAATAAATACATCACATTAAGAAGGTATTTGTGGCTGCCTTGGAGGTAATAATAGCCCAGCTTTGCCCTGCTCTCTCAATCTTACATCTATTTTGCCATATATAACCTTAGCTATATTCCTTGCTGTAAAACTAGCCTGTCAGTGTGAGTTATTAGCCCCACACATCTCGGGTTTACTGTTGCTGAGAGCCTGTATTGATCTGTGGTGCTTGTGTCCAGGTGCTGTATCTGCTGGGGGCCATGTCTCTGTCCATGGCGCTGCAGTTGGACCGACACGGGCTCTGGAACCTGCTGGGACCCAGTCTGTTTGCTCTGGGCATCATGGCGGTAGCATGGGTAAGTACTACCTGCTATGAAACACAATACAGTCTACTGCTATGTGTATGAAGCATTGTTTATTATCGGTAGCATATGATGTCTTGAAATCTGATTACTTACAAGGACTAGACCAACTGGATGGGCCTAGGGATTTGAGTTTGACATTGACAAAATAGGAATTGATAAGGACTCGATCAATCATAGCTACAAAACTGTGACTCTTAGGGTTTTCTTGATTTGTGGTAGTTATATATAAAGCTAGTAATCCTACGTTGTACTATATGATTGATTAATTCATATTCAGTGTATGTAAAGGGGTTTAATGCTACTACTAGTACTTCTAGTACTACATCGATAAATAGATAGACAGATAGATAAATACTTGACTTGAATATTGATAATTTTTACAACTACTACTACTAATGATAATAATAGTAATTACATTAACATATTATATATTTACAAATCCAACCTCAAAGATTAGATAAAAGTTATTGTTGTTCTCAAGACAGTATTTCCAATTTCCAAAAGTAGTGTGAATCACTTGCTTTGGGTTGCCAGACTTTACAGCCAAACCAACTTGTGTGTGTGTTCTCAATATATGGTAGCTAATGACATCCGAGTTTGTGATTGGAATGAAAAGTAATAAACAAATCAACTGGAGCATAAGATACATACAGCTTTTAACAAAATTGGGAATTGGATAGATGATGCCAGAATGCCATGTAGTGCGCTCTGTATTGTACTTGAAACTAGTTGGTACATCAGAATACTTGGTGGGCTGAATTTAATAATTTCTACCACTTTAAATTGTAAGTGCTTAACATTCACAGACAAGCTTCTCAAACATGCTTATGAAAACTCAACCACAAGAAAGGCCTAATCCTTCATCCAAGGCCCTAACATGCAAATGGCCGAAACACATCTTATGACAATGAAGCTTGAGCCTGTGCTGTAAGTTTTTTGCTGCCTTTGGGTATTAGTCATGGGCTTGTAGTTTCATTATAAGTGTGCCTGTACTTCTCTCACTCTGCTTCAAGTCATAATGTGTTCCCTCAGCTGAGAGTGAGATAAAAAAATAACAAGTCTTTTATGCAGGGTTTGAGAAAAGGTGGGGAAAAGTTTTAAATGGCACGTTTCAAAACAGGACGCACTTGTAATTCCAACATAAAGCTCCCCTAGCTTTAGTGGAAGCCTGTGTATTTCACCATATTCTGCCTCAGAGATTAACAACTAGCTTTTCCAATTTATGCACAATATCCCTCTATGATTCCAGTCTTTTTAGAGATTTACATAAAAAAACATGGGGTTGTGCGTTCAGCTGCTTTGCTTGTTTCATTTGTAATTCAATTATGTGTGCTATGTTGACAAATATATGTAGCATGAAAATATCACAATCACATATATGCAGGCATTATAGAGCAGTGTGAATGCGTCATGCCTGCCCCTTTAGTGATAGCAGTATCCCTGCAGCTTCTCCATAAAAAGTCCTTTAGATCGGATGGGGCATTTTTCAAAACTGAGCCACTATTGCTTCCTGACACTCAATAATGTATTTGTTGTTCAGCGGTGTGTGTTTTTTCTCAGTGCGGTTACACCTCTAAATTTCAGTGTCACAGTTTTCTCCGGGAGCCCTTTCATTTGAGCTTGTCATGTTGCAGTGATGCCTGCCATAGCCAATGTTACCAGCCCAACTGAATTAGATCACTCAAATGGAGGACACATGGCTCTCATATCCGGTGGTGTGAAGAGATGACTGAAAACTTGTCAGTGGCAAATATGTCTGCTTTTACCAGTTAAAATATGCAACAGAATCGTAATCTGTTTAAGGGTAATGATGTTTTAGGAAAAATGCATAAGTTCAACAATTAATCCTTGTGAGGATGGTGGACGTCTGGTAATGCGTTGTCCAATTCCATGAACAAAATAAAATAGATTTCTTTACTTTTGATCAAAGTTGCTGGATATTTTGAACCCTACTGTACTAATTTTCTACTGTGCCAAATGAAGATGTACATGTGTCTTAAATTTGTCAGTAGTGAGAACATTTGGCATTTTTGTTGAATTCTTGTGACTTCTCAATCGGGCCATCCAGTGAAACAAGGGAAATGGAAAATAACTGCAGGCCTATAATTATTTATTTCTTGTTCAGTGTTACACAATGTGTCTGTATCATTCTTTTGATCTTTTTCCATCAGACGGTGCGCACCATCCGGAGGCGCCGTTGCTACCCGCCCACCTGGAAGCGCTGGGTTTTCTTCCTGTTCCCGGGCACCATGATCGCCACCTCTGCAGTGGCTCTGTATGCCTTTGTAGAGACAGAGGAGAACTACTTCTACATCCACAGTATTTGGCACATGCTGATTGCAGGCAGCGTGGGCTTTCTACTGCCACCTCGTGCCAAACCCGATGCCAAGGTAACGCCCCTAAAACGGCGGCGTGGCTGTGGGTACCAGCTGTGTGTGAACGAGCACGAAGAGCTGGGCCTGGTGGACCCCAGCCTCATCTCCATCAACAGCATCTGCACCAGCTGATAGGCCAGGCCACTACCACTGACTCTCCATTGCCTTTTACTGGGAAATCCACTCTACTGGGAAATAAGCCACAGAACTCCTACAGCAGTGTAAATATTTAAATGCCAATACTACAAAACACTGGATTTGTTTTACTGTACTTATTGTTTTGATAATGATTAAACCCAGTGGTACTTTACAGCCCAATGCCCAAAATAAAGGTATCAACAGATTTTTTAAATTGAAATTTTCATGAAAGATGAAAAATTACATAACATATCTACAGGCATCTAAATAAAATATATTTTCATTATTGTGATTTTAACTTTAAATGCTCTGGTGTGAATGAACCAGTCCTAAGATCTCACCTGTACTTAATCTTATTTGATTTGAGAAGCTGAGCAGGGTTGGACCTGGTTAATACTTGGATGGGAGATTGTGTGAAATACTAAACTGTCATTGTGTAATTTGGCAAGACACTTCACCTAACTTGTCTGGTATGAATGTGGTGTGTGAGTGATCCATGGTGGTCGGAGGGGCCGTTGACACAAATTGGCAGCCTTGCTTCTGTCAGTCTACCCCAGGGCAGCTCTGGCTACAGAAGTAGCTTACCGCCATCCATTATGAAATGAATGAATAATGCAATGAAATGCTTTGGGTGTCTTCAAAGGCACTATATAAAACCAATGCATTATAGCCCATGTAAATACATTATTCCATATATAAGCTTTCGTTTGTAATGAAAAAAATGTTATGTAATTTTTCATATAGCAAAATTATGGTTACATTGTTTGATTTCTGGGTTTACTGGACATGCAGCATCTCATTTTCTCCTGAGGCTGGCTTGTATCTTCGGTAGTAAAAGTTGAATTGTGGGTGTACAGTGACACACTGTTCTTTGTGAATATGTATTTAAAGTCCGAGCTGAACCACTGCTGCTATCTGACGGTGACTGTAAACTGCTTGTGTGGGTTATTTATTAGTGGTCTTTTACATGGACTACTTCAGATCACTACTGTTTTGGGCTGAGGGGTGGACACAGGGGTGGTCATAAGTGAGGGCACAGCTTTTCTGAACATTTCAAAAGGTTATCTTTTGCACTGAGACACACAATGTAATTCTGTACATTTTTATATTTACTAGAATTGTCACCAATGTAATCGTCATGTGGAATGTTATATCGACCGTTACTTTTTTGCAATTGCATTGTACTGCTTTTACACGAATGTTGCCCAAAGCCCGACTGCCTGCGGAAAGCAAAGGGGAGACCTCAAATCAAGACCTCAGCTCCCCATCGCGCTCTGACAGGCCACACCATCACACTCATAAACAATAAATGTTTTTCTTCTTTTCTGGCCTGGTTTCGACTCGTGCTTTTGTAGCTGTAAATGTAGTAAGCCCTCCCAGAAAGACATCACAGTGCAATTCCCTGCCTAATGGAAGCCAGCACTAGTCAGACAGTGAGATGAGAAGCTGTCAGTGTTTTTCTCTAGGGAATAGAGTTGAAATAAATAATTCCCCCTCTTCCATGGTGGGGTTATACAGGCAGGCAGCTTGAGCACACTGTCAATACGCTGGGTCTTTACGGGGGAAAAGCCCGGGTTTAGAATTCACTGCTCCACTTCTTATTAGGTGTAATCCATCACTATCTGCAGCTCTGAATTTATCATCCTGCACAGAGGAAGTCAGCTTCATCTAATTATTGAGGAAGAGATGAAAAAGTGGATTTCTTGTGGAAGGTGTTCATATCAAATCGCTCACAAAACAGAAGGCGCTCATGTTTAGACCATTTGAAAAATAACCATTATGGAATTATGTATCCTGTTTGGAGACGGCTTTGGAGATCTCTTCCACTATGGTGCATACATGATTTGGAAATAAAAAGGTTTCTTATCTTCTCTTCTCCATTTGCAGCCACTATTATTCACCATTAATACTGTCTGGGAGTGTCATATTAAAGTCTCAACACCTCTAGTGGAAAACTTTGACAAAGAACAGTCATTTTCAAAGTCCTTTTGGTCACAAGGAATTTGGTTGGATTTTTAAAGTGGCTTTCCTGTACTATGAATGGAGTGAAAGTTTTTTTTTTTTAATGAAGTTTTAGTTTTTATATCCTGGGTTTGTGTTGTATTACAACACAGATATTTACACAAATCCTATAGTCTTACATTAAATTCAGAATGAGAACCCATTTAATGTAATTGAGAGCAAAAAACACTACTGTATATGTATGGTACACCTATGTGCACATGTACTAGTGCACCTACTCATATGCATCTTGTTAGACACACTTCTGTCAGACTCACTTCATAAATAGCAACAGTATCCAACCAAACATAGATTAAATGGTAATGTACCATTCTCCAAACCAACATTTTATTCAAGCCTCAGGTGCAAAACATTTATTTTTATTCCAATTAAGGTGAAGGGGAAACACACTGAAATATTTTTGCAGAATTGCCAGTGCAGTAGCTAATTAGAGGACATTATAAGGAAAGGAGGTCAGCAGCAAAGCAAATAAAATTCATCTGAAAATATATTGTAAATGATGGTCCATGTTACTGGCCTTGCCTTGCAAGGCTACATTCAGGGCTAAATGTCCCATTCATTTATCCAGACCTTCAGAGCCATCTCACAAGAAGATTTTAATGGCTTCCACTCTATTCCACACCATGTTTGATATACCCACTGACAACAGGAGGGGATAGTATTGCCTTTCTTTCAGTGACACTTTTATTGTGTTTAATCATTGTGCTTTGTTAAGGGAAATTTGTTTACCTGACGGTATATTTATCATGACAACTTTAGCTGTGGTTGTTTGATTGCCATGAAAATGCACACGAACGTGTGTTTTTACAGAATTTTAGACATTTGTGAGTTTCATCCCGATCTGACCAATTTTGGTAACGTGAGAAGTTTTTTAGACATTTAGTGTGTTTCAGAAATACGTTGGTGAAAATAATTTTTGGTGCAAGTTTAAATTTTTCTGGAGTGAACCCAATAAATTTTAGTAAAAAAATTTCCAAAATTCACCAACTTTTAGCCCCTCTGCCCCTCACTTCTACAAAACCCTATGTGAAAAATACCCAGCGTTGAACAACTAGTGCCAAGAAACCAGGGGAGAATTTTTTTTTTCTTTTTCACCAAAAATGATTTGTGTTGGTAGTGAGAAAAATATATTATTTCAAATAATGTTTCTGGGGGTATTTGAATCAGAAGCAATATGTGCTTATTAAAGAAATATATTAAGTGTTCATCATGATCATGATGATCAACTTTGGCTGTGGTTGTGCAATTGGCATGAAAATTCACACAGACATGTATTTTTATAGGTTTTTAGACGTCAATTTTGGCAATGTGAGAAGTTTTGTATGCACTAAGCATGTTTGAACTTAGTGTATCCACTGACGAAAATATGACCATCACGATACAGTTCATGTTATCCGACTTGGTGCCGATTGTAAATTTAGTCTTTACAAAATACAAGTTACTATTTTATTCAGGTCATATATATCTTTATTTGGTTTTAGCCCATTTCAGAATAAAGTTATGTTTTATGTTTAGATAAAACTCAAATGCAATAAGAGATTTTATATCATTTTTGCATTAGTCTGTGCGGCTTTGGTGTAGCCTTCAGTTGATCATGCAGGACTCGTAGGTGGGCACCATGTACTTGATGTTGATGAAGGCCTCCATTCCTCCGTAGCGCTCCAGGATCTCCAGAGTTTCCTGGATGAGGTCTCCTATGTTCTGCCTCTTCTGCTGGCTGTAGTCGATCCCATCTCCGGAGTTTATGTTCATATTCTTGAAGATGTTTAAAATGGGCAAGATTTGTCGGTAATATGGCACTAGAGACTCTCCTACCATCTCTCCGGACATGACCAGGTGTTGAATGACTTTAAGGGTGGTGCAGATGACCTGGCGGTTCCTTGTGTTCAAGGCATTCCGGATTGGGATGATGAGCTGCGGGATGACTGGTTGAATCTTGGGACCTCCATGCTCCAACATATCATGGATCCCCTGTCGAGCGAAGAACTCGTATGGGTGCACCGTCTCGCATAGCCCGTCGAAAAACAGTGGCAGGTAGTGGTGGTAGTCCAGCTTTTCTATTTCTACTTTCCAGGCGATTTGATGGCCTTTGGTGTCGTGTTTCAGCGCAATGGGCAAGTCGCCTCGCTCGTAGAATTTCCGAAAAAGGGTCGGTTTTAACGGTCTCTCCTTGAAAGCTCCGGCCGCGGGGGTCCTATCACCACGGAGTTCTTCATTTGGGCCTTCATTGTGAATCCTAGTGTTTTGAGGTCTGCCTTTGGGCAGACTTTTAGACTTATAGTCTTGTAAGCCATCTCCTTATAGTCTTGTAGACTTTTAGACTTATAGTCTTGTAAGTCGCCCCCTTATAGTCTTGTAGACTTTTAGACTTCTAGTCTTTTAGTCTTTTAGTCTTTTAGACTTTTAGACTTTTAGTCTTTTAGTCTTTTAGACTTTTAGTCTTTTAGTCTTTTAGACTTTTAGACTTTTAGTCTTATAGTCTTATAGTCTTTTAGTCTTTTAGACTTTTAGTGTTTTAGTCTTTTAGACTTTTAGTCTTTTAATCTTTTAGACTTTTAGAAGAGGCATTTTGGGGAATGATGAAATCTCATCAAATATCACAATTTAAAACATTCTCCATGGCAACCAGGACATAGTTCAAAGACAAAGAAGGAAAATCCCCCCCCCCTCCAATATACAGTATATCCCCTCCCTATCAGAGTATAAGAAAATATGACCATCCGACTTGGTGCCGATTGTAAATTTAGTCTTAACAAAATACAAGTTACTATTTTATTCTGTGCGGCTTTGGTGTAGCCTTCAGTTGATCATGCAGGACTCGTAGGTGGGCACCATGTACTTGATGTTGATGAAGGCCTCCATTCCTCCGTAGCGCTCCAGGATCTCCAGAGTTTCCTGGATGAGGTCTCCTATGTTTTGCCTCTTCTGCTGGCTGTAGTCGATCCCATCTCCGGAGTTTATGTTCATATTCTTGAAGATGTTTAAAATGGGCAAGATTTGTCGGTAATATGGCACTAGAGACTCTCCTACCATCTCTCCGGACATGACCAGGTGTTGAATGACTTTAAGGGTGGTGCAGATGACCTGGCGGTTCCTTGTGTTCAAGGCATTCCGGATTGGGATGATGAGCTGCGGGATGACTGGTTGAATCTTGGGACCTCCATGCTCCAACATATCATGGATCCCCTGTCGAGCGAAGAACTCGTATGGGTGCACCGTCTCGCATAGCCCGTCGAAAAACAGTGGCAGGTAGTGGTGGTAGTCCAGCTTTTCTATTTCTACTTTCCAGGCGATTTGATGGCCTTTGGTGTCGTGTTTCAGCGCAATGGGCAAGTCGCCTCGCTCGTAGAATTTCCGAAAAAGGGTCGGTTTTAACGGTCTCTCCTTGAAAGCTCCGGCCGCGGGGGGTCCTATCACCACGGAGTTCTTCATTTGGGCCTTCATTGTGAATCCTAGTGTTTTGAGGTCTGCCTTTGGGCAGACTTTTAGACTTATAGTCTTGTAAGCCATCTCCTTATAGTCTTGTAGACTTTTAGACTTATAGTCTTGTAAGTCGCCCCCTTATAGTCTTGTAGACTTTTAGACTTCTAGTCTTTTAGTCTTTTAGTCTTTTAGACTTTTAGACTTTTAGTCTTTTAGTCTTTTAGACTTTTAGTCTTTTAGTCTTTTAGACTTTTAGACTTTTAGTCTTTTAGTCTTATAGTCTTATAGTCTTTTAGACTTTTAGTGTTTTAGTCTTTTAGACTTTTAGTCTTTTAGTCTTTTAATCTTTTAGACTTTTAGAAGAGGCATTTTGGGGAATGATGAAATCTCATCAAATATCACAATTTAAAACATTCTCCATGGCAACCAGGACATAGTTCAAAGACAAAGAAGGAAAATCCCCCCCCCCCTCCCAATATACAGTATATCCCCTCCCTATCAGAGTATAAGAAAATATGACCATCCGACTTGGTGCCGATTGTAAATTTAGTCTTAACAAAATACAAGTTACTATTTTATTCTGTGCGGCTTTGGTGTAGCCTTCAGTTGATCATGCAGGACTCGTAGGTGGGCACCATGTACTTGATGTTGATGAAGGCCTCCATTCCTCCGTAGCGCTCCAGGATCTCCAGAGTTTCCTGGATGAGGTCTCCTATGTTTTGCCTCTTCTGCTGGCTGTAGTCGATCCCATCTCCGGAGTTTATGTTCATATTCTTGAAGATGTTTAAAATGGGCAAGATTTGTCGGTAATATGGCACTAGAGACTCTCCTACCATCTCTCCGGACATGACCAGGTGTTGAATGACTTTAAGGGTGGTGCAGATGACCTGGCGGTTCCTTGTGTTCAAGGCATTCCGGATTGGGATGATGAGCTGCGGGATGACTGGTTGAATCTTGGGACCTCCATGCTCCAACATATCATGGATCCCCTGTCGAGCGAAGAACTCGTATGGGTGCACCGTCTCGCATAGCCCGTCGAAAAACAGTGGCAGGTAGTGGTGGTAGTCCAGCTTTTCTATTTCTACTTTCCAGGCGATTTGATGGCCTTTGGTGTCGTGTTTCAGCGCAATGGGCAAGTCGCCTCGCTCGTAGAATTTCCGAAAAAGGGTCGGTTTTAACGGTCTCTCCTTGAAAGCTCCGGCCGCGGGGGGGTCCTATCACCACGGAGTTCTTCATTTGGGCCTTCATTGTGAATCCTAGTGTTTTTTGAGGTCTGCCTTTGGGCAGACTTTTAGACTTATAGTCTTGTAAGTCATCTCCTTATAGTCTTGTAGACTTTTAGACTTATAGTCTTGTAAGTCGCCCCCTTATAGTCTTGTAGACTTTTAGACTTCTAGTCTTTTAGTCTTTTAGTCTTTTAGACTTTTAGACTTTTAGTCTTTTAGTCTTTTAGACTTTTAGTCTTTTAGTCTTTTAGACTTTTAGACTTTTAGTCTTTTAGTCTTATAGTCTTATAGTCTTTTAGACTTTTAGACTTTTAGTGTTTTAGTCTTTTAGACTTTTAGTCTTTTAGTCTTTTAATCTTTTAGACTTTTAGAAGAGGCATTTTGGGGAATGATGAAATCTCATCAAATATCACAATTTAAAACATTCTCCATGGCAACCAGGACATAGTTCAAAGACAAAGAAGGAAAATCCCCCCCCCCCTCCCAATATACAGTATATCCCCTCCCTATCAGAGTATAAGAAAATATGACCATCCGACTTGGTGCCGATTGTAAATTTAGTCTTAACAAAATACAAGTTACTATTTTATTCTGTGCGGCTTTGGTGTAGCCTTCAGTTGATCATGCAGGACTCGTAGGTGGGCACCATGTACTTGATGTTGATGAAGGCCTCCATTCCTCCGTAGCGCTCCAGGATCTCCAGAGTTTCCTGGATGAGGTCTCCTATGTTTTGCCTCTTCTGCTGGCTGTAGTCGATCCCATCTCCGGAGTTTATGTTCATATTCTTGAAGATGTTTAAAATGGGCAAGATTTGTCGGTAATATGGCACTAGAGACTCTCCTACCATCTCTCCGGACATGACCAGGTGTTGAATGACTTTAAGGGTGGTGCAGATGACCTGGCGGTTCCTTGTGTTCAAGGCATTCCGGATTGGGATGATGAGCTGCGGGATGACTGGTTGAATCTTGGGACCTCCATGCTCCAACATATCATGGATCCCCTGTCGAGCGAAGAACTCGTATGGGTGCACCGTCTCGCATAGCCCGTCGAAAAACAGTGGCAGGTAGTGGTGGTAGTCCAGCTTTTCTATTTCTACTTTCCAGGCGATTTGATGGCCTTTGGTGTCGTGTTTCAGCGCAATGGGCAAGTCGCCTCGCTCGTAGAATTTCCGAAAAAGGGTCGGTTTTAACGGTCTCTCCTTGAAAGCTCCGGCCGCGGGGGGTCCTATCACCACGGAGTTCTTCATTTGGGCCTTCATTGTGAATCCTAGTGTTTTGAGGTCTGCCTTTGGGCAGACTTTTAGACTTATAGTCTTGTAAGCCATCTCCTTATAGTCTTGTAGACTTTTAGACTTATAGTCTTGTAAGTCGCCCCCTTATAGTCTTGTAGACTTTTAGACTTCTAGTCTTTTAGTCTTTTAGTCTTTTAGACTTTTAGACTTTTAGTCTTTTAGTCTTTTAGACTTTTAGTCTTTTAGTCTTTTAGACTTTTAGACTTTTAGTCTTTTAGTCTTATAGTCTTATAGTCTTTTAGACTTTTAGACTTTTAGTGTTTTAGTCTTTTAGACTTTTAGTCTTTTAGTCTTTTAATCTTTTAGACTTTTAGAAGAGGCATTTTGGGGAATGATGAAATCTCATCAAATATCACAATTTAAAACATTCTCCATGGCAACCAGGACATAGTTCAAAGACAAAGAAGGAAAATCCCCCCCCCCCTCCCAATATACAGTATATCCCCTCCCTATCAGAGTATAAGAAAATATGACCATCCGACTTGGTGCCGATTGTAAATTTAGTCTTAACAAAATACAAGTTACTATTTTATTCTGTGCGGCTTTGGTGTAGCCTTCAGTTGATCATGCAGGACTCGTAGGTGGGCACCATGTACTTGATGTTGATGAAGGCCTCCATTCCTCCGTAGCGCTCCAGGATCTCCAGAGTTTCCTGGATGAGGTCTCCTATGTTTTGCCTCTTCTGCTGGCTGTAGTCGATCCCATCTCCGGAGTTTATGTTCATATTCTTGAAGATGTTTAAAATGGGCAAGATTTGTCGGTAATATGGCACTAGAGACTCTCCTACCATTTCTCCGGACATGACCAGGTGTTGAATGACTTTAAGGGTGGTGCAGATGACCTGGCGGTTCCTTGTGTTCAAGGCATTCCGGATTGGGATGATGAGCTGCGGGATGACTGGTTGAATCTTGGGACCTCCATGCTCCAACATATCATGGATCCCCTGTCGAGCGAAGAACTCGTATGGGTGCACCGTCTCGCATAGCCCGTCGAAAAACAGTGGCAGGTAGTGGTGGTAGTCCAGCTTTTCTATTTCTACTTTCCAGGCGATTTGATGGCCTTTGGTGTCGTGTTTCAGCGCAATGGGCAAGTCGCCTCGCTCGTAGAATTTCCGAAAAAGGGTCGGTTTTAACGGTCTCTCCTTGAAAGCTCCGGCCGCGGGGGGTCCTATCACCACGGAGTTCTTCATTTGGGCCTTCATTGTGAATCCTAGTGTTTTGAGGTCTGCCTTTGGGCAGACTTTTAGACTTATAGTCTTGTAAGCCATCTCCTTATAGTCTTGTAGACTTTTAGACTTATAGTCTTGTAAGTCGCCCCCTTATAGTCTTGTAGACTTTTAGACTTCTAGTCTTTTAGTCTTTTAGTCTTTTAGACTTTTAGACTTTTAGTCTTTTAGTCTTATAGTCTTATAGTCTTTTAGACTTTTAGACTTTTAGTGTTTTAGTCTTTTAGACTTTTAGTCTTTTAGTCTTTTAATCTTTTAGACTTTTAGAAGAGGCATTTTGGGGAATGATGAAATCTCATCAAATATCACAATTTAAAACATTCTCCATGGCAACCAGGACATAGTTCAAAGACAAAGAAGGAAAATCCCCCCCCCTCCCAATATACAGTATATCCCCTCCCTATCAGAGTATATGAAAATATGACCATCCGACTTGGTGCCGATTGTAAATTTAGTCTTTACAAAATACAAGTTACTATTTTATTCTGTGCGGCTTTGGTGTAGCCTTCAGTTGATCATGCAGGACTCGTAGGTGGGCACCATGTACTTGATGTTGATGAAGGCCTCCATTCCTCCGTAGCGCTCCAGGATCTCCAGAGTTTCCTGGATGAGGTCTCCTATGTTCTGCCTCTTCTGCTGGCTGTAGTCGATCCCATCTCCGGAGTTTATGTTCATATTCTTGAAGATGTTTAAAATGGGCAAGATTTGTCGGTAATATGGCACTAGAGACTCTCCTACCATTTCTCCGGACATGACCAGGTGTTGAATGACTTTAAGGGTGGTGCAGATGACCTGGCGGTTCCTTGTGTTCAAGGCATTCCGGATTGGGATGATGAGCTGCGGGATGACTGGTTGAATCTTGGGACCTCCATGCTCCAACATATCATGGATCCCCTGTCGAGCGAAGAACTCGTATGGGTGCACCGTCTCGCATAGCCCGTCGAAAAACAGTGGCAGGTAGTGGTGGTAGTCCAGCTTTTCTATTTCTACTTTCCAGGTGATTTGATGGCCTTTGGTGTCGTGTTTCAGCGCAATGGGCAAGTCGCCTCGCTCGTAGAATTTCCGAAAAAGGGTCGGTTTTAACGGTCTCTCCTTGAAAGCTCCGGCCGCGGGGGGTCCTATCACCACGGAGTTCTTCATTTGGGCCTTCATTGTGAATCCTAGTGTTTTGAGGTCTGCCTTTGGGCAGACTTTTAGACTTATAGTCTTGTAAGTCATCTCCTTATAGTCTTGTAGACTTTTACACTTTTAGACTTATAGTCTTGTAAGTCGCCCCCCTATAGTCTTGTAGACTTTTAGACTTTTAGTCTTTTAGTCTTTTAGTCTTTTAGACTTTTAGACTTTTAGTCTTTTAGTCTTTTAGTCTTTTAGTCTTATAGTCTTATAGTCTTTTAGACTTTTAGACTTTTAGTGTTTTAGTCTTTTAGACTTTTAGTCTTTTAGACTTTTAGTCTTTTAGTCTTTTAGACTTTTAGTCTTTTAGACTTTTAGACTTTTAGACTTTTAGACTTTTAGTCTTTTAGTCTTTTAGACTTTTAGACTTTTAGTCTTTTAGTCTTTTAGACTTTTAGACTTTTAGTCTTTTAGACTTTTAGACTTTTAGTCTTTTAGTCTTTTAGTCTTTTAGTCTTTTAGACTTTTAGACTTTTAGACTTTTAGTCTTTTAGTCTTTTAGACTTTTAGACTTTTAGTCTTTTAGACTTTTTTTAGTCTTTTTAGACTTTTAGACTTTTAGACTTTTAGTCTTTTAGACTTTTAGACTTTTAGTCTTTTAGTCTTTTAGACTTTTAGACTTTTAGTCTTTTAGACTTTTAGACTTTTAGACTTTTAGTCTTTTAGTCTTTTAGTCTTTTAGACTTTTAGACTTTTAGACTTTTAGTCTTTTAGTCTTTTAGACTTTTAGACTTTTAGTCTTTTAATCTTTTAGTCTTTTGTGTATATATATATACACATATATATATATACATATATATATATACATATATCATATATAACATATATATATATATATATATATATATATATATATATATATATATATATATATATATATATATATATATATATATATATATGTTTTTCAAGTTTTTCAAACATATTTATTTAGTCCCTCCCCCATGACCTCCACTGTCACCCTACACAAAACATAGTCACATTTTGGCAATTTGTGCCTGAAAAATCAGATGAAAATAGAGGAAGTCACCAAAAATGGATTGCATGGTTTGGTAGTGAATATCTCTTTGAGTCTGAATAGCTGGAGTAAAAAAAAAATATTTCAAGGAGTGTTTCTGCTGCTATTCAGATCTGAAGTGCTGTTTTCCCTTGGCTGTTTTCCCTATGTAACAGCCTATTTGTAAATAAAGCAATAAAACTAAAATTTTTGGTCCCTTGAAAATGACAAGGAAATGTTCAAAAAATCATGAAAATAAGTATTAATTTTAAACCTAAGGCTTCAAATTTTATGTTTTAACCCATGTTATGATGATTTGCATAGTCTGATCTAGTGCAATAGAGGGAAGCAAACATGCTTGTGAAAAAGATGGGGAAAAAAAGAGAACTTTGGAAATTCTCAAAAAATATTTCAGATCTCAGTGACAAGAAATTTAAGAAACTAGATGAAACTTGTGACCAAATACACAGTTTGGAGTGTGGCTGGCACTTTCATTCCAAAATGAGCTGGGAGACATCACAATGTGAAACAGAATGTTTTCTGTGACATAAGAGCTAAGCCTAAATATGCAAGATTTGTGTGTTAAACATGTGTGACTCAAACAAAACACAACTCCAGGTATGTTTGTGATGAGGAAGCAACATTATAACAGAAATCAGAAAATAGTAGAGGCCCTTTAAAGTAAAATATGTCATTTTGACAATGTTGTCAATACATGTTGTACCAGTACCGGCTATAGTACTGTAAATTCATTGTTATGATTCTAAGTAATCACAAGAATTATTTATGAAAAAAATATAATGCATAATTGTAAACAAAAGCATTCTTATTCAACTTGAACACAGTAGGTCCAGTCAGAGCATAAGTTCTAACATACTATGTTCAAGGGCTTGTACAAACCCAAAGAAAAGTAGATTTGAGGTCCGGCCATGTCACTTCAGTAAAGAGCTCAGTAATAGAAGTGTGGGTAATGGTAGCGTCTATATCTGAAGTGTGGAGCTTGGCCCTCTGTGTGAATAAAACAGCTTGTGACTGAACTTAATGATACCAATTAGGTTGAAATGACAGGGTCTCAGATATTGGAATTTCAAACACTGAATCTCCTTGTACTCGCGCTGCACACATGAAATCAAAGCAAGTACCTTCTTTGTATTCATGGATTCGGGCCTAACACGTCTAACAGGATTATTAGTGTGACACACCATAAACCCCTCAGCTCTCCAGCTCCTGCCTCCTGCCTCCTTTTTATGCCTTTTTCTAAACATTATGGTTCCCAAACACACAAAAATACCATGTTTGTTTGTATTCCACTCAGCAACAAAATATGAAAGCATAACTAAAAGCACTTGGTGAGCAAAGGCCTACACAAAGGCACTGACCATATCTCGCAATGTTGAGCATGTATAGATTTGTGTGTTAAACATGCGTGAATGAAACAAAACGACCCAGGGTATGTTTTTGATGAGGAAACAACATTATAACACAGATGAGAAAATAGCATAATATGGACTCTTTAAACTCAAGCCAACCTTTGAGTTAAAAGCTGTCTTTCCCATATGAAAAACAAAAAAAGCCTCAAATAATCATTCATTTTTCTAAAGGTTAATTCCTTCTTCTTTTTAAGTGATTTAAAACTATATTTTCAGACAAACAAAAAGAACAAACAAGGCAGGGAAATCTCATATCTGCCTAATCTGACCACTGCAGACAGAACCGCAACATGGACTGGAAAAATGCCAGGGTCATCTGTGCCCAAAGAAACAAACACCACCTCTAGATCAGAGAGGTCAACATCTGCACTGGAGGTCCACGAGTATAAATCATGAC